ACTTGCTGAAAGGCTTGATAGTGCTTGACTATTCAAGCAGTTACTGATTGACATCCTTGGCAAAGCTATACAATGGTGAAAAGCTCTAGCAGAGTTCTAATAATCACAGCTAAAAGCCTAAAGAAGTCATTTGTAAGGTTGGAAGTTATTGTCTGAGAAGGTAGCATTCAGTTTCCTTTGCACTTATTATGCATAAAGAAAGAAAAGCAGCAAGCTTTAAGCTAATTGTTAGACTCAAGTCACATGTGATCAGAATATGTGATAAACTAGTGCTGTATCATGTTCATACAGTCATGCTAGAGTTCACTTGTATATATCTATTGACTAAGTGCTTCAAAGTCTTTGCAGATTGGCTTAAAAGTGAAGTGGTATAGAATAAACTTTAGCTTAAAGCTGGAGTTATACAGTGAGAGCTACTCTACTTATATACTGCTCATCTATTAAGATAAATATATAACTACTTATTGTGCTTGTCCAGATCTTTATGTTCATTATCCTTGGGCATCACTATTATTTACAAAAAGATTGTTGTTCATCATTGAGGGTTGTCATTGCATTGGAAGACAATGACAGACATAGTCTGTTGTGATGACTAAGCCTGTCCCACAGTCTTAAGCACTGGCTTAAGTGCTCTGACTAAGCATAAATAGGGGTTAATTAAAGAAAGAAATAGGAAAAATTGTAACAGACAATGAGAAGATGGTAGTACTCAAGGCAGAGCACTTCAGAGCAATGACCATACCAACAGAAGAGGAAGCTCATAAGCACATCAAGAGCACTATCCAGCAAACTGAGCTGTGGAATCAAAAAGATAGCATCATCAATCAATCACAATTGTGGAATGACTAAGGAAGAGGACTAATCTATTATGACAACTGAATCTACATTTCTTATGATCACTCTCTTCAGGGAGAAATCATCATCTGGTCTCATAATCATATCACTGCTGGACACTCTGAAATTGTGAAGACTGCAGAATTGGTATTATAAAAATATTGATAGCTAAAACTGAAGAGAGACATAGAGAAGTATATGAAAGCCTGTAAAATCTACCAGTACATCAAGTCAAGCACCCAAGTGAAGGCAGCTCTGCTTCATCTGAACAAGATCTCAGACACTCTATAGATGCATATATCTGTGAACATGATCACCAGTCTACCAGAGTGCCAAAGCTATGATACTATTATCATCATCATTAATCACTTCTCAAAGATGATTATATCAGTCACATATTCAACAGAGCTATCATTGAAAGGATAGGCAAAGATTCTAGAGGACAAGATATATGCCAAATATAGAATACCACAAGTTGTGATTTCAGATCATGAGCCACAGTTTATCTCCAAGTTCATAATAGGCCTATACTATCTTTTTCAGATCTAAAGCAATGTCTTGACTGCTTATCATCCACAGATGGATAGGCAAACAGAGAGAATTAATCAGGAGATCAAAAAATATCTCTGAATGTTTATCAATTATCAACAAGACAATTGGATCAACTGGCTTCTGCTCATGGCCTTCCAGTACAACAACCACATACACTCTGCTATGAGCAAAATCCTATTCTTCATCAATTATAGAAGACACCCCCACATCACTAACTCATTCCACTATACTACTACAACTTCTGCCTCAATCATGCTTATGAATCAGATGGCCAAGATTCATGACAAAATAAAATCTGCCCTCAAAAAGGCAGCTGCTGTGATGAAGCATCAGTATAATAAATCCTGCTGCTCCACCATCTAATACAATGTCAGTGATCATGTATGGTTGAACATAACTAATCTTCATCTCCTATATCTAAAAAATAAATTAGCTGACAAGTGAATCAGACTCTTATCTATTATTAAGAAGATCAGCATCTCTGCCTATCAGCTCATGCTTCTAGTCACTTGAAAGATCTATCCTGCTTTCAATGAATCTCTTCTCTCTCCTTATATGCTCTCTGCATTCCCAAACTAAGAAGCTTCCCCACCTCCTGAACTGATTCTGATCAATAATAAAGAACACTATGAAATTGAAAAAATTCTCAATCACCATCTTTATAAAACCTATGACTGCTAGAGTCTGGGCTCTAATACTTTTGTCAAATATCTCATCAAGTGGAAGAGTTATAGGTCTGAGTCCAACCAATAGATCAGCAAATATAACATGAATGCTGCTGATGTCATTTATGACTATAAACTCTCTCTTAATTGAGCCATCAGAATAATGGTCCTAATAGGAGAATAATATTATGATTTTCTTTTTTATCTTATCTTTTATCTTGATTATCTTATCTTTGATCTTATTTTATCAGAGTATTTATCTTATCTAAAGTGCTTGTTGACTAGCATGAGATGATTACTTAATCACAAAAAGCAACTCATGCTATTATCCTTTAATATGTAATAGATATCTCACCAACAGATAATACTCTATTGTCTCATATTTAACAATCAGACATTATAACACCATAGTATAGAAACACACAATTAGTAGAGACTATATTTATCACACATAAAAACATATATAAGTAATATAGCTCTTGCTGTAGTAGATTAGCTTTAAGCTAAAGTTTATTTATATCACTCTTTTTCTCTTAAGCCTAACTTGTATGGCTTTAATCAAACACTACTCAATTCACACTAAGTGGACTCTAATATGGTTGTGCAAATATGATACAGCATCAGTTTATCACATATCTAGAGTCATATGATGAGTGAGTCTAATATTAAGCTCATGACAATATATAGCAGTCTGATTGCTTATAACTGCTGTTGATTAAAACACTAATATTACTATAAATAGATAGATCTTTTAGATATGTCTTATCATGCAGAGAGCATATGAGTTCATCATGAAAGATCTTATGCATCATCATTGGAGAGATGACTTTTACTATATCATCTATCAGTTCTCATCTAACAAATCATATCATAGAATTCTCTCAGATCAGCAAAATTAACTCACTTCACAGTACATCTTTCAGTCACAAAGTCAAAGTTGTTTCTCAACCAAAATAAAGAAGTGGGATCAAGCTTGGTTTTGTCATGAATTTTACTTCTAAATCATGATCTGCTGATGCTTAGTAAGCTAATGCTTACCAATCCTGACCAAAGCCTAACTTCAACTGTGAATGATAATGCCATGATGATACAATAACCATGTCTTACTTATTGACATACAATAAATGGCTGAGAACAACATGATAATAGTCACTGCTACATGCCTTTGTCATAATAAGAACTGCAGCACACAGGAAACTCACTATAGCAATCACACAATAGAGTGACAATGATGAATAAAACTATAATCACAGTCATTATCATTCAAACAATGAGTATAAAGCATAGAAACCAGACAATAGTTGCCTGTAGAGTAGAAAGCTCTTTAAACAGTATTTAAGAACAGTAGTATACACTGATGTACTCTAGTCTCAAGCTAAGGTTTAATATATTTACTAAACACTCTGACTATCTGGTGTGAATACTCTTTTCCACAACAACAGACTATCTCTACCAGCTACACTCCTTGATCTCTCTTTACAAAATTCTCATCACATACTTAATCATTCTTATCATTCTTCTATACCAACAATAGACTCAGACCCAGAACTCAGAATCAGACCTCAGCAGAAGCAGTGCTGAATATTTGTAGATGTTTAATAGTTGCCTCACAGATTTTCAGAGACAGCTGAGATGTAGCCTTCTTGACTTGTTGCAACAATGATAATATGGATGCAGAGGTATTTGAGACAGTGAATGGTGTGTTTGTGGTGGTTCTAGTAGCTGGAGAGTGAATAGAAAGATCTTTAAATATGCTGATGTTGGTGTCAAGCATGCCTGGCATTTGGGCTCTCATCTATAGTGAACATAGAGTTCTGTATGCAGAGCTATAAGCAGAATCAGATCCCATAACAGTAGCCATATCTGTGAGATGATGATGGTTGGATGATAAGAGTATCAGCTCACTCTGAGAATAAGGTAAGCATTCATATAACAGCTTTACTGTGAGACAAAAATAAAATAATATAGATTGGTAGTTCAGTTAGACCTACATTTTGCTGGAATGAATGCAAGACTTAAAGCAAAAGAATAAGTATCATATTGATTCATAGTTGTGATTTTCTTGACACTGTTCTGCAGAACCAGCAACTTCATCCTATACACTTTTAGAGTGGAGGTAACATTAAGATATCTGTATGATAGAGACTTGATTATATTATTTTCAATCAGCCATCTAGCTATATCTTTCAGTATGTTTATTGAGAAAAAGTTTATACAAGGACAGTATCAGTGATTAGCAGGATCAGATGTACACCAATTGGTCAGTTGGTTTGCCTAAATATTAAAAATAGAAATTGTATTTAATATGAGAAAGTATTTATTTATTTGAAATACTTGTATATAATAGTGCCAAAGAAAACATGTGTAACTAATGTTGCTCCTTGGCTCAATATGTATTCTTTGGGGTTGCTACTGATAGGATCTGCTATGGACTGGGAATTTAAGTGCCAGCTGACATGTAGCTAGAGAATGGCTGAACTTTAAGATACAGATTTTAATATTCTATTTACTTCTATATTAATTGTCTCATGTCTACTATGTCTTATTGTGCTTTATGTATTACAGTTTGATGTTTATCATTGAGCTTGAGGTTAGTCAGGTTATTGCCCCAATAGGTAAGAAATGATATCAAGAGTAGGATCCTTTTGTGTTTAACATTAATGAGTTTAATTGTTTACATTCCACTCATTTTCTGTACACTTTGAGATCATGAATACATTCAGGAAATGGCCTGATTAGATTTTGTGACTGTTAGTTTTTATTGGGATGCCAACAGGCTACAGTTTTTCATCAGACAATATTGCTATTAAAGTTTTTGATAAATTATTTCAAGGCACAAAATATTCTTATATAAAAGTATTAATCAATGTCCAGATATTACCTAATTGAAAACTAACATATAAAGTAATTGAAGGGTAGGCACAACATCGTTTGAAATAGAGCGTATCAGTCTTGTGTTCCATACTTTGGGACTCCGTGGCGCGGTCATATAGTCTTTTGCTTCTTAAGTTCTCTTCTTACTTCTTAGAAAGTGACTGTGACCGTGCTATTGACCATGACTCACAGCACGTCTCGCACGGACCAATTTTGCTTTTCTTTGGTCCCACCCTTCGTTAGACACCCCATTCTTCCTTTTCCCTTTACCCTCACGTAGACGTCTACCACTCCTCTCAAATACATACATCGTTCACCGTATTGCCGCCTTCCGTGAGTCCCAGTGTTTCCTGTCGGTTAGGACAGGTTTCCATCTCACCCTGAATTTCCCCCATAGCATGAATCCACAAGAACAGCCCAGCAATAGCACAGCGTCGCCCCTAGCAACTGTAGAAGACACTTCTCATGGCTCTCAGAAAACGGAAAACTTAGGGAAATGTCTTATTCTGACATTGGTGCGGCATGGACAGGTATGTAATGTTTCTTCACCGTTCTAGTTCTGTAACAATCCCCCATAAAGTCCCAATCGAATGTCTGTCGACACCTAAGCGGAGGCAGATTCGATCCTCTCACCGACTGCGGCTATTCCCAAGCAGAACAATTGAGCAAGGATCTATCCTCTATGCACATCGATCATCTCATATCATCTCCGTATACACGAGCTTTGGATACTGCTCGGGTTATTGGTCGAAACAATATCGAGCGACCTGGCTTGAAACCTGAGGAAGATGAACTCATCATAGAGCAGTACCATGGACCCGCGGTTGAAGCTGCTCGGAGCGCTGGAAACGGGGATCTTGCATACGAGCTACGGACCGGACAAAGTTCTTTCCTTGCGTATGGACGTCCCACTTTCCCTCCTCGATCTTACAGTCCCCCTGGAGGCGAGAGTCTGGAATCAGTTTCTCGACGCGCACGGATTACACTGCGCCGCTATCTGCGTTGGTATGGTGGAAGCTTTTCTTCCATGCCGGATGTTCCGATAGACTCGACAAATCTTATCGACGGCGTTCCTCATGTTGTTATGGTCAGCCATAATATCTTCCTTACCGAGTTCTATGAAACTATGCTTTTCTTCAACGATCCTTCGCAGAGGTACGACACCCCGGTGAATTGGGGAAATGCCAGTTGGTACGTATTGTCGTCATCGTGAATCCATCGATACTCTCTGAATCTTTACAGGGCACGATACATAGTATTCTACGATGGCGAGCGCTTGGAGCTCAAAACCATGAAACAGCCCTCTTAACTGTTCGACGTGGGGAATATCGCTCTGCTAGCATACGTCGCGGTCATATCATTTCATCTGGCCGTACATCATTCTTACTCATAAAGAAAATTTGAATTATCAGAGAAGATCGAAAGCAGAGATACGAGATCGGCATATAGAAACAGATTCTAGGGCATCGACGGTACGAGTACGGGCCCGTATATCATCCACGGGGACATTGGACATCCTCACTAAATGTTAAATATCCTCTCCATATTGAACCTCTAGATACATTGTGTGTATAGTCGACAGCAACCGAACAACAAAGGAGTAGACAACAAACGAAAGCGACCGAAGAAAAAAGAGTTCAGCAGAGATCAGGCACCGAGACTCGCCAGCTCTTTTCGAATATCGGCCTCGCCTTCCATCTTCTTCAGCTGGGTCGCCTCTAATCTCTCTCCTCGTTTCGCCTTCTCCTTCAGCTCCTCAATTGCTTTTAGCTAATCCAATAGCGGCCCATCAGCCTAGAACATGAATACACGTCGTTGAAACCATACCTTCTTGTTCAAATTCCGGATCTTTTTGGCCGCCGGATCGAGAGCACTATCCAGTGTGGGAGTAACAGGTGATGCCACATCCACAATGACCTGCGGCGGGGGCGGAGCCGCCTCTACATTAACCTTGCCATTGGCCTTCCCACTGACAGAAACGTCCAACGACGGTCGTCCACTGTCAACATCCCCAGCGTCCTTCTTTCCCTTCTCCTCACCGTCCCTCTTTGCACCCTTGTTCCTCTTCCTCGACGACTTCTTCTCGCCTTCCGGTCCAGGACTCGGACTGTGACTAGGCGGAGCAGCACCGGGGACGTGTCGTCGCCCATTCCCGTTCACATTCCCGTTGACCGAGGTTCCGGGAGCGGGACTCCGGTTGTACCCTCGAGGCGGCGTAGCAGTGCCATTCGTTGGCGTTCGTGCGGCACCACCTTCGTCTTCTCGCTTGAAGATCGCAGGCGTTGCCAGACCTCGAGCTCCCGGGGGTCTGTACGCACCCGCGGGCTTCGCCGCAACAGGTTTCTTGACGGCCTCCATATTCTTGACGGCCTCGCTGGGAGCAGGAGACAATGGAATACCCTGCCCAAACTGGGCGACGTGTTCCACTGGTGTAGGCCTCCAAGAAGCTTGATAGAGCTCTTCCGCGTTCTGCATGTGGACAAGGGGTCCTGAACAGTGCCAAATTTTAATACCGTTGTCCACGCGTAGACGGGGAGACAGCGTCGCTGTCAGGAGGAAACGGCCATCCGGAGACCACTCGCAGTACGACGTGTTAGGAGCATCGATGGTCGTCACTTTCGTTAAGGATCGTCGATCGAAGACGTCAATCTTGCCTGCGAGGTTACCAAAGCCAGCGAGGGCAATGAGGCGGCCTTGAGGATTGAACGAGACGAAATTGTGCGGAGATGACCCAAAGTCGTGCAACGAGCGGACTCGATGGTCAAATATGACAGACTTTGCCGGCATATCTAGAGAATTCATGGTGAATATTGATTAAATGTGTAGGAAAATATGAAGGTACAGCCATAAACGACCGCGAACTCTTTCGAGTTCGGGCTCCAGTTGAAGTCGTGGATGGGTCCCTCCTTGTCCAGAGTGACACGGCAGTCAAAGTTACCGGCAGAGCTAAGCAAATAAAGCCCAGTCTCCCCATAGTAGCTCTTGTTCGAGTTGTCGACTTCGGTCTGAGTCAGGAGTAGGACCTGCGTGCCCAGTGTGTTCCACTTGATTTGTGACCGGTCTGCTTTGTAGAAGTTCTTTTGGCACGTCGGGGAGCCGTTGAGGGTTAACAAGCCGTAGATCTTGATACTGGCAGGTGCACCCTACAAGAAACGTCAGCAGAACTAAGGAGGTGTACCCACCTAGGCGACGTACCTTCTTCTCAGCAACGAACACGGCGATAGAAGGATTGAGCCCGGGACTCAGGGCAATGCTGGTAGCTCCCTCCACCCGCAGCTTGTCCACCATTCCCTTGGACCACTCCGCAGGCCGGTACACCTGGATGTCGGCGCCAACTAATCGAACAGCATGCGACTCTGAGATGGTGTACTGAAGGTCCCAGCCATCCTGTGACTTCTGTCCGAAAGAAACGAGTTCCTCGCCGGTAGAGGTCGAGAAAACCCGGAGATTTTTATGTTGAGACCCGTCTTCGAGTTTGACTGGCCGCTCCCAGGTGGACAAGTACGTGCCTCGAGGAGAAAAGTTCAGCTCGATGACGTTTGTAATTGCCAGCTCCCTGAGGAGTATGGCCCCCTCTGCCTGGAATATTCGCACTCTGAAAGAAAAAACGAGCCCGGTCAACTCTCCTCGTCAGAGAAACCAAACGTTATGGCTCACACAGTAGGTAAAGCATACGCATACAGACGACCATCAGCGCTGTACGCATAGGATCTGGCCGCAACGTCTGGAGAGACAAATCCCGGAACTGGGCTGTAGTTCGGAGTGCCGCCAACGAGGCCGAGAGATTTTTGAGCACGGACTAGAGGTTGAAAAGCATCATTAGCATGTATAATTAAAGGCAAAAAACATTGAAAAAAGTGAGAGCGAAGTATTCGTTTGGCGGTTTCGATGATTGTGCACCGCAGACGACCACTACCACAAAACTGAAACAAACCGAATACTAACATGCGTATTGCTGTGAGATTTGGGATGCCATTGCAGAATATTGAGGTCCAGAGGGCGAAGAGAGAGGTCTGAAGGAGGAGAGAAGCAAATTAATGCTTCGCAGTCGACAGCGGCAGTGAGTAGAGAGAAAGCGCTGCTTTGCCTTGGTTCCAAAAGCACTTGAGGGCCGGTCCGGCTAATTTTCTTCTAATTTTCCTTCCTGATTAGGGCTTCTGATCTACGAACCATCGGTGGCACTATAAGCCTTATTTCTCGGCCACGATACGATACGATAGGAGCAATATTAGCGCTCCAATCATGTCTTTACTCTTGTAGGTCCTGGACTTTCACGCATACCGGTGGCATTTTGCATGAACCTCATGCTTCGCGTCTATTGTACCCTGTTTTGAGAGTCGCGTCTGGTGGCATTCCAAGAAAAGCACCCGAAAATGCCACCAGAAACTGTAGCATAAATGAGGAGAAATCTGAGGTACGTTTCTGCACTCTGCATTTCTTCGAACGCTCACAATATCTGCGTTATCCCACACGAACTCATGGTAGGTGCTGCTCTTTTGCGTTGCTTCTCGACTAATCGTCCTCGTTCAATTCTCTGCAGTCCCAATTCTCTGATTCTTCGAACCTCGCGCTTGCAGGTTATCACCACTCCACACCAACCCCTCAAAGTAACACGGATGGGGAACAACACGCACCTGTTTCTTATGCGACGTACTTCGAATATGTTCCACGGACCCCAAGGTACAACCGTGACTCTCCGTGCATTTCCATTCGCTTCTCAGTCAATGGAAATGTTGGCCCATACCTTGAAGACGTACTGCGTGGACAAGTCACCATTGACGGCGCGTATAAACCCGCGTTCGAAGACTCTGCCAGTGGATGGTCGAGGACAAAATGGATGCTTGATGTATGGGCCAAGCTTTCCCCCTCCTGTTTTCCATGCTTTATGCTTGATATTCCAGTGGCCCGGTCTCCCAAGCGATTGCATAGGACTCTGGTGTCACGATATCAATAAAAAGCCCCTTACCCGCGACGCTCTCATTCGGGAGATTGGCGCACAGATTGGGCAGATCATGTGGAAATCGAAGAAGAGGGATCCAAGATACCAACAGTCAATGCATACGCCTCATTGTTGGCGCTTTGAAAATATCAAGTATCGCAATATTCGATTCTTTTCACTCAACTACTATAACCGTGTCTGGATACCTATACTTGCAGTTGACATGCGCTGCTAGGTTTTATCCCCCTTCTTTCTCTCCAACTTGATCTGTACCCCACCGAGTTATACTACCATTTTGCTACCAGAAATTTCACTTAATGGATCATGCACAGATCCTGATGCCTGATATCTCTCAGTTAAATATGCAGATTGGGAGCCTTGTGCTTTGCTAGAACAGATTTGACAACATTATATGTTGTAGGAGTGACCACTGCCAGTCGGAGGTTCATATAGGGGTTATTTGTCTCTATTATTCATGGGTATCATAATTTTCGTTTAATTTCCAATGGCTATTTCCCCTCAACAGTAAGCTACAGCGTTCCTTCCGTGCTGTGTGCTTTCCTTCTCCCCCAGCTTCCTCCATCCCCAGACGATTCGACATGTCTCCCCCCACAGGCAATGGAAAAGAATCTAATACCGCCCGTATCCTCGGCTCAGGAACTTCAGGTCAGAAAAAAAAAATCTTGACGGCGACCCAGTTTCACTGAATTTCGACTTTTAGGTGTTGCTGAGCTGCTCGTTTTCCATCCTGTGGACACTATTGCGAAGCGATTAATGAGTAACACGTCTCAGGTGGGTCTTGACACGAGCATGACTCTGGAGGACTTTCATCGACGTTCAAGCAGGTCTCCTTGTCGTCCCTATCGACCATCATCTTTCGTGACAAGGCGACCGCCAGCCTACCAACAAAACTTGGCTCCCTTTTTCCTGGTCTTGGCTATGCGGCCGGGTACAAGGTCTCCCAGCGGATATACAAGTTCGGTGGACAGCCGTGGTTCAATGACCTCATATCTTCGCACTACGGTACCCAGTTCAGGAATACGTTTGGAGAGAGGAAGGGAAAGCTAATGATGCAGGCTACCGCCGGAAGGTCTGCCTTTCATCCTTTTTAGTACTCTTGTCGACGCTCACACGTACCTTTTGGCAAGCTTGACGGGCATTGGTGAAGTCGTACGTGACATATACACATGAATCCACGAAGGGACGCTGACCACCACGACAGGTCCTACTTCCACTAGACGTCCTCAAAATCAAACGTCAAGTGAATCCCGAAGCTTTCCGTGGCCGTGGGATCCTCCGGATCGTCATGGAGGAGAAGGGGGCCCTCTACCGAGGATGGGGATGGACAATGGCGCGGAATGCTCCCGGAAGTTTCTCTGTAAGATCCCAAAGCCATAATATTCCCATTTATATCGCTCACACGGTACCCTGCAGTTATTCGGTGCTTCCGCCTTCACGAAGGACTATATCCTTGGCGTGAAAGATTACTCCAAAGCCACTTGGGCACAAAATTTCATCGCTTCCATAGCTGGAGCCGTCGCCTCTATCACCGTCGCCGCCCCTCTAGACGTCATCAAGACCCGAATTCAAAATGCCAACTTTGAGAGCAAAACGTCCGGAATAACCGTCTTCAAGGATCTAATACGGAAGGAGGGCCCAACTGCCTTGTTCAAGGGACTCACGCCCAAGGTACCTGTCGTTCCCACCTAGCTCGGAATTCCAATTGACTCTTTGTGACATTCGCAGATTCTGGTCGTCGGTCCCAAGCTGGTGTTCAGTTATACTCTAGCACAGTCCCTGATTCCCCTGTTCGCTAACTACGTTTAGATTTTCTACGATGAGCGTACTTTCATATGCATCTAACTTAGCTAGATGAGATATAGATGTAGGACCTATGTATGGCCTATGTAGTACCATTGACGAATGTCATGCCTGATTACCCTGCTCACTTGCACATGCCGTTGATCATGACGCATACCTATTGAACAACCACCCACCGCATGCCAACAATCACCGAACTCCCTTCTGACAGGATCCTTTCCACGCAGAACAAATCGTATTCAATTTCGCTTGCGAGAAACAATCAACGTATCGAGCAAGAGTTAGAGGTATATGCCAACGAGTAATCATAGACGTAAGTAACAGACAAACAACATTGATCTACAAAAACATAGCGCATGGCCTGGCATGGCATAAGACTAGTAATACATAGGTGGTCTACACCTCACTGATATCTAGTAAGAGAGATAGAAATGACGATGATGACAAAATGATGAGATGAGATGAGATGAGATTTGTACCGGACTCTATGCCTCCTGAGGCGATTGGGGGGGGGGGGGTATCTACAAAGCACTGGGCGGCAAGTTAAGTAAAAACCAAAGCGAATTGGTCAAAACTATATGGCAGCCAAAACGAATGATGGATGGATGAATGGATTGCGCCGACCGGCTCAACGGTCCGCATTCACCACGATGACACACGACGGCGGTGCGTACGAAGGCTTCGCTTCGACGGAACACTGTCATGGATTGACGGAACACTGTCATTTTTTGATGGAACGGATTCGCGTTTCGAAGAGGGCGGCGATGCGTCCAGCTTAGCGGCCCGCTTTTTCTGAGGGCGTTCTCTGCACGTCTTGGTAGGAGAGGCGGCGCTGGCGCTGCTGGTAGCACTGCAGGATCCGTGAGTATGAGAGTTGGAGGAGCTAGTGGATGCAGTTGTTTGGGTTGCCCCTGACTGGGTCGAAGAAAATGATGCTGCAGTAGAGGGAGACGCGGTGGTCACAGGCGCGACAGAGGATGAACTTTCAGAAGATGAGGTAGTGGCGGGCGCGGCATGGGTAGAAGATTCCGACGATGCAGTAGTGGTAGGTGCGACGTACGTAGAACTTTCCGAGGTCGAGGTTGTCCCGGGTGCCGCGGATGTAGCACTTGCCGCTGTCGACGAGGTCGCAACTTCAGCTGGAAGCGATGACGACGACGACGACGACGACGACGAGGACCAGGATGACGAGGACGAGGACCCAGAACCGGACGAAGAGCTGCCCCCAGTGCTAGTTCCGGTGAAAATGTCGTTTTGAGCGCCTGAAAATGTTTCACGGCGAGTTAGACGCCGCGAAATATCAAAATCCGACGAACGCACCACCACTGAATCCCATCTTGGTGTTGTATCCAGGGGACTTGGCTTCTCCGGCGAGATCGTAGCCAGAGACGGACACAGTGTCAGCTTCATTCTGGTTCCAAATGAGGAACTTCTTGGGACCAGAAACACAGGTGGATTGGTCGTCTTCACACCATACAGGGGTCTGTGGAGTTCCAACGGCAGTTGTACCGGTGGCGCCTGTAACTGTACACCTGTAGGGATGCATATAGATGTTAGGAATGCCACAGCTGTCAGCGAAAAAGATGTCAATCACGGCTTTGAGTGAGAGTAAGAAATATGACGAACCCATTGGGTATCTGGAGATAGCCGAGCGATCATTAGGTCAATCGTCATTATAATGGCCGAGGATAGAAATGCGTACCCAGCCCCACTAAGCAGGCACAATCAGTTTAGGTCCAAACACTAGTTGCCAAGAATACTCACAGCACAGATACAACCGCCATCTGGGCATGCTGGCATTTCCGCTGGGACATCATAGGTTGCAACAAGCTTCCAGGGGGTACTAAGCATTCGGAGTCAAGGCAACGTACAAGCGAATGAAAGCAATTTGCTCACTTCGCAGCAACGGTGAACACAACAAGATTGTCTTCATTGACCGCAGAGATGTCGGACTTGAAATGGGTCAGGACCATCAACGCCAGTAGAGTGGGCTGCGCTACGCACGGTATAGGAGATAGCGAAAGCAGTTCCTGCTGCCATGGATTCGTTCTGGGCGTGGACTACCATCGGGACAAGAGTCAGTGATTGACATCTCGACAGAATGCAGCCGATACTTACGATTGGGGCTGCTTACGCAGTCGGTGTGCTACAAACATTTTTAAGTGCCCGTTGAAATGACGATGCCATAAAGATACTGACAGTTTCATACAATTCCGGGTGGGCTTGACCGTCAGCCCAGTCAGAAACTTCAGTACCGTTGTAAGAGTATGAGGTAAAGGCGCGGTTAGAGGCAATCTCGACGCTGAACGAGCCACCAGCGGGCCTGTGGGGGGTGATTTAAAAATAAATAAGATTTGAGGAACACCATCAGTGCTCACAGTTCCAAGAAAGTATTGTCCGCTGGAGGTTGAGCAAGACACTACGAAAAAAACTCAATGTTTTAATTAAAGTGGCGGGAGTTACTAGTTCTTACGCCAGTATCAGCATGCACTGTGAGTCAACGGGAATCAGTAAAGATAATATGAAGTAAAAGAAAGCACTCACTCCAGTATCCGTCGTAGGCCAGTTCATACACGGGGTTTACAGCCTCTTCGGCGTTGATGTTAGACCCAGAGACACCCTAGAGATCGCGTAGAATGAGGAGACGACAGATAATCGACCCAGCATAAACGCACACTGAAGCACCACATCGAGGGGTGAAACGGCGCGACATGGCCTCGAACGGCTTGCGCAAGGAAGAGAGCAGCAGCGAAGGTCGTGAACATGTCGAGAAGGGATTGGAGAACGAGGATAAGGAGAAAAGACAGTCAGTTTTTAAAGGAATGTGAACAGGCGTTCCAGAGAAAGAAAAACGGAACTGAAGATGACCTGCAAAAGGCGTCCAGGAGGAAGGCGTAAGAGTGATAAAAAGGGCGAATCTGGGTTCGTGCCACTTATAACATTCGTGATGTGAATTGCCAAATCTGGACGCTGGAATTTCACCCCTTCAGGAACTCCAGGTTGCGACAACAAGGCGCTCCCAAGCCACGTGAGGTGGTTGCTAGGCTGCTTTCGACTCGAACATTTTGAACCATCGAAAGGTAAATTGAGGCCGCTGGGGCCGTTATTCAATTGAACGTCACTACGCCGAGCGTATCGCGTATCGACAGAGACTTGACACGGTGCATCATGTTTCCCCCCTCTTTCCCCCCCCCCCCCTGCATCAGACTTGGCGCTAGAAATCTTGCAGAGCCCACATACCCAAGGATTAAACCCAATTAACGGATACCGGCTACTGATCAAGATTGTTGGATTCCGAAGAGATCCCTACCATTCTTCGACGCCACCATGTTTATTAAGTCTCCTTGAGAACGAGCTGCCGCGCTACTGGACTGGACAGTTTGGTAAATGGGTTTGATCACCAATCCGGTTGCGAAGTCAACTGGCCCTCCCAACAAAGACTATTTACGTAAATGTCAAATTGTATGGAGAACTCTACTGACTCATCGAGGCAGAGACCTACCAACGCAACTCGTAGATGTCAGCGGTAGTCCTCAAGCACCAACGAACTGTCGAAATCTTCGTATTTCACAGTTCGGGAGCACCTAGACCGAAGAGCGCTGTTCCGATTCGACCCTAACGCGACCGGAGGTTAAGCGCGAAGCAAGTACTTATCAGATCATCATGTCGGCGTCGAAGGTGCTGTCCGAGGCTACGAAGCCAGCCAGCGTGGGAGAAATCTATTACCAAGCTCGTTCTCGCTTTCCCTTGGATCCTTCTATCGATCAGTTAGCGTTCATTAAGTCTTCCGAGCTAGTTACCAAGTAGAATACTCCAAGCCTCCTTCAGTCTACAAGTTGTAGGCTAACCATAACCAGCCAGACGGACGATGCGACATCTTTCAGGAGGGAACCATGCAGTGACTTTTTCGTTATAGCTAAAATTTAGTACGCACTGTGCAACCATAGCAAATTTAGACCGGTTCCGTGTCTACTACTTGTCAGACTCTTCCCTAATGCTCGCCTAGTAGAGAACATCTCTGTCGCATCAGCATACGTGGCTAGACGCTGTACTACGCGAATGTCTTCTGATGGAGACATAATGACGTTCAAGTCACCAGGTGCAGCTCGACTGGTTAGTTACTCCGAGTCAATGAGCCACGAAGCGTCGAATTCTGAGGCTGAAAGACAAACGTCTGATAACAATCTGCTCTCGAGTGCCATTCACATGTCTTCGGGTACATCAGAATCTTCATTTATTAGCATACGTACACTCATTTCTCGGAGATCTGTCCCCAAGACAAATGACGTTAGCCATAGACTCCTCTCATGGGTAGTGTCGATGATTCACACTGGCAGCCGACAAAACCATGAGGTTGCGTCTGGATCCAACACTCTCCTATCATACAATCATCGCCACCGTCAATAACATTAAATGGTATATTCTTAAAGACTCCAATGAACAGTACACATACAAAATGGGATACATACAAATCGACAGTAATCGACATACCGATCGACACTTATGCATAAATAGAAAACCGCTGAGTCCAAGCTGCTTAGTACTCGGCCAATTGCAGTACCTTCCCTGTAAACGCCACAGACGTCAGCCCTGCATCCACGAAAACATACTGCTTGGAAATACTAACCAACATGTGAATAGGGTGTACGCCTCCGGTGCCCAAGAAGCTGCACGTCACCACTGTCAAAGAACGAGTATCCCGCTGAAAAAGAATTAATGAGCAAGGATATTCAGCAATGGGAGGCGACATACGCATAGCGATATCATCATCGTCATCTTCGTCACCCGAATGTCCACTGATAGGTCGTCCTGTCTTTGAGTCCCTCAGAATACCTGCATGATCAACGAACGGCGCCGGGCGTTCATTCGCCGAGCGATGGATATGGATGATCAGCTTCTGTATATCAAGCAGATATTCCTGAAGGGTATTCAAAAACCGCCTAGTCTGCAGATGCTTCGAAGACGCGCAGCTACCGCAGGCCGTTAGCTAGAGCCCGCATGGGACAATATTGGAAATTCATACACAGATAATCCGTCCTCCTTGATGATATATCCAATTCCATACCCATCGGCAGCGACGGGACCGAAACCAAAGAGTCGCAGAGCGGGGTTCCCACAATTGGACGTCGATAGAATCGACGTGCTGAGGAGTTCCCAGCCGGGGTCGGTGAAGATCGCCGGCATCTTATTGTAGAACTCCGGCCATGGAGCAGGGTCGTCAGGCGAAGGGTCAAGATTTCCATTAAACTGCCTCTGGAGGAGACAATACAGAGCGTAGAGGTGCCTTGACGGATGGAATCAGCATTCCGCCGATAACTTTGATGCGCCCATGTGATTCACCCACCTGTCTTGGCCCAGCCCTTGGCTGCACTCTCGGGTCAATTTAACGTGACGCTCGCAGGCCTTGTGCAAGGCGTCTACTTTTTGGGAAGCTGGAGCTTCAGAGTAGAAGACCTACGATCATGTAAGCCTCGGTCCACACATGTCATGAACGGCTAAGCTCTGACCTTTGTAAAGTGGACGCTTTCAGGCTGAATAGAACGGATGGCCTCGGTACGTCCATGCAAAAATGATTTAGTCATCGCCGGTTCGTACACACATTCAATCCGACCTAGGAGGGTGTCAGTAACGGCGAAATGGGGAGAGATGAGCGAGCTGACCGTACAGCCCAAAATACGCCGCTTGGAACGCCATCTGGACAAAGGCATCTGGACTAAATCCATGGCTTGTGATAAAGTTCTTTCCATAACCCTTAAATTCGAGCGCTTGACAGTCGTTCTGGCAAATCAAGTCGCTAATTCTCGTTTCTGCAAATCGAATACCCACGCGCAACTCGGGAGAAAGTTTCCACTCTAACTTCTTCGGTGTCGTGTCAATGTGGTCTAGAGGTGGTGTCGGCGGTTTACCAGAGTTACGCGGAGGCTTGAACGCCTTTGCGTGAGGGGAAAGGGTCGCGTGGAAAAGAGTAGGCGCTGAGGGATTGATTGACCGGGCAAGCAGCATCAACCCTTCAGTGAAAATATCAGCCGCAAACCGAAGTACAGTGTGACCATCAACGCCAGTGTGCTCAAAGTTGATACCAGCAGCACCATCTGCACAAACGATGATTTGAAGCTGAGAGCCCCAGAATAAGCGAGTGGGAATAGAAGCATCAGATCCAATGACGTACCTTATCGTACCATCGGTTAGTACAGGTACCAGTCTGAACACCCTCTTCCAAGCCGTACGTGCCGCACAGGAAATTACTGCATAGATCCGCCAAGTTATCCGGCGCAGCATCATCCAAACAGACAACGAACAGGGATCGGTCGATGATATCAATGCATGACTTGTTAGTACGGTCATGAGACAGGGTATCGCGGAGTTGGGACCATATCTTTCTATTCTCCGTGGAAAGGACGCCTATCGCGCCTCTGACGACCTGAAATCATGATTGATTGATGCGGATATCAATGCAAGTAGTCGTGTACTCACATCAGCCTTATCGGTCTTGTCAGCATCGCATATGATAGCCTTGAGGTTCCGAATGACTTCGCGTTCCGTAAGAACCGGCAAGTTATCATCATCAAGGACATCGAACCAATCTAAGCGTCACTTAGAGCGGCCGTTAGAGTTAGATGCGTCTGATACTCACAAAACTGTCCACGACGAAGAACGATGATATGTCTCGAGTCCTCATGCACTTGCATCTTACACCCTCGCTAAGCGAACCTTGTGAGCACGGATATGTCTCGCTGCCGACACCACCGACGTACCTCTGTTGGTATCCTGGCGGTGCCGAACAGCCTCGAATACTGGTCCATGTCCAGAGGTTTTCCTCGAATTGTATCCGGCTCCAGAATTCCGGCTCGAAGGTCATGGATAAAGCCCAGGGATGAGATAATAAGCGACGCAGCGCGAGGAAGCTGGGTGCCTCGATCGGGAGAAGGATCATTCCTGGAAGTCGTGAGTCACAATTACGGATGAGATTAATGGACTGAGCTCACTCGAGAACGAAGAATGGATTCAGAGCTAGGACGACGGGGTCCGTATGCGATAGATATGACTCGTACCAAAAGTCTTCGATGTAACTACACCGTCCTTAGCCTAGATAACGAAGCGAACAGGGAATAAACGCCTACCTGTCTTTGTTCTTTGCCCATGTCTTCAGTTTCTCTTGTATTCGGGGCCCATCCTTGTCCAAGAAGTCCTGCACGGCTAGCTTCGTCTGTTCGTGTTCCCGTGCATCCTGCAACCCCTCAAGAGCCTTCAGATACCTTCTGCATGTATCCTCCAGAGGGGGGATAGGAAGCTTTGGGAGCTTGTCCTGGTACGTAAAGGTCTGACCTGGCATTGGGGTCGAAGAACTAGATGCCTTGAATTTCGACATTAGGGAACGTGAGCAGCAGCAGCAGGAAAGGAGATTATTTGACGCACGAATATTGAGTCTTTATATCGGAATGTGGGGAAGTGTGGGATACGGGATTTGAAATCAGAAGGAGATCCGGCATGCAGGTCGTAGAAATGCTGACATTACTACTGACAGATAGCTCCTAATAGTTTAGCGCTCAGGTCCTCCGTTCCGTAACTGGACGGCGGGATGGCGGTCCGCACGGCGGTACTTGTGTCTAGGCCGCCCTGAAGGTTCGCGCTCGGTGCCTTGAAGAGTCTTCAATACGAGGGGAGATGGAAAGCTGGAGCGACAGAGATAGTCACTTAGTGACACAATGCTGGTAACGGCTAGTCCTTCGGTTCCAGTAACTGAGTGAAAGAAGGTAAGAGAGGGTAAGAGAGGGGTCGGGTAATTCCGAGTTTATTATGGTGAGGCAATTATAGGGGGGCTTGCACACTGTAATTTTGGATCTGACAGCCGCTGCTACTGTGCGGAATGGCTCGGGTGACCGCTCGGTATGCGTATCTCTGTTATCACACTCTTTTGTAGCGGATAAATTAACAGGGAAAACCGATAAATATCGTACATGCAGCGGGCAAGGCTGATCGCTGTGCGTCGAAAAAAAATTACCAATGAAACAGAGAGGCTCGTTCGCCTAATGATCCACCCGTTGTGCATGCAACTACTGCTGCATGACAGGCGCGCATTGATGGGCGGCCACAGAAACTGACATTTCCGGCTAGATTCTGTCCACCAAAATTGATTGAATGTGATTGGATGTCCTTGGCAGCTAAGGGAACAAAAAGAGGCGGCCGGCGGTTGCTGCGCAAGATTGAAACACAACACCAGTCAGAATCAGCCGGACTTGAGGGGAAACACTCCCGTGTACTAGAAAATATAGCTAGGGTCCTTAGTGGCATTCTAGGGTGAATGCATATCCAACGCAGAGTAGGGAAGTTATCTTTTCGAATGGAAGTGTAGGTGACGCAGACTCGAGTTAAAGTCTTTCCCGTTCTCAGGTGAAGAACGGCTCGGAAGGGGACTGGCTGTCGATGAAGGTAAGCGATGAAAGCTATTTTCTATCAACTGTTTGTTCCTTGAATGCCGAATCTCTGCTGAATAATTTGCCTGCTGCACCACCTGCCTAGAAGAACCTTGACAGTGAGCACACAAAACAGGCGACAGGGCCGAAAAGCAATCTCACGTTGATCGCTTTTGGTCTTCTCTTGTGCGATGTAAGTGCTGAAGATACCCTGGCCTGGTTTCTAGAAAGCAGTGAACCATGAGACACAGGAAGAAAAATAGTCGCGTTATGTGTCGACCCAAGAGCTCTGAAGTACCCAGTCTGTTTTATTATAGGTATATTATAGGTAAGATGTTGAGCTGCCCGCTCGATGTGACTCAAGCCAGGTCGAACAAGGAAGAAAACTAACCGTTCCACATCAATTACACGAATAGCAAAACCACAGTTGCTTCCTTTTTTTTCTGGAAACGAGCCGAAGAAAACGAGAGAGATTATGAGGAACAACCGCTCAGGCGGAAGCATAAGCGCGCAAATAACTGAACGAAATAATCAAATTCAAGCTCAGTAAGTTCGTCATGAAGCACAAATGACACGGGCTAGAACTTGCATGTATAATGGAAATAATTGGATAGTCATAATTTACTAACTTCAAAGAGACAGAAAAAGGCTCTAAACTCCTTGTACAGGTCTTCGAAGAAGGCCGACCACGCCGGGAAATTATAAGCGCAAGTGGAGTTCCGAAGTGGGAATTGTGGCTGTATCCTTCCACTTACGGGCTTCAGTCGAACCTGTGCCTTGGTCGACGATATCTGCTCGGGGATTCGACATTTCGATAGATCCTGAAATTAGTCTGTTTTTAACGTGGGTGTGTTTGTCTCCCACCGTGTTATCACAAAGCATAATGTGACGGCCGAGAGCCAGCATTGTCCTTTACGGGCGGCAAGTTCGGCTTGCCGATTGCCAGGGAATATTGCTTGTCCCCGTTTTCCCTTCACAATCATTATGCAATGCAGGCTATTTTTTAATGTGTGTGGGGGGGGGAAGTGATGCTTCTTAGCTTCAGGTGCACCCCAAGATCCTGAAATACAACATTTATTTGCTGCCAGACTCCCATCAGGTTGGAAGTAATGAAGCCACGGACTTCGTACAATCTGTGCAGTCTTATATGTTTATTTTCCTGTGATTTCAGGTCATGATCATGACCAATGTTCGCTAACACCCATACTGATCACTAGTAGACTCTGAAGCATGAATCAGGCAGTCAGGACTGAATAAGACACTGTATATTTCTGATTAATGATAGTATATGCTGGATATGATGTCTAGTGAGTTGGAAGGACTGAGCTTTTGTATATATTGTAATTAGTGATGGCTCAATGCATTAACTAGTCAACTTTGGAGGTAGAAGCAAGAGGAGGAGGACCAACAGCCTCCATAGGAACAGGAAGGTGGCTCTCCAGTTGCTTGACAACCTGACTATGGTGATTGACCACAAACTCGCGGTACTGAAGCAGAAAATGTTGTTCTTCACCCCTATCACAGAGAGGGCGGTGATTACTAAATCTAGAATCAGCTTGTTTATTCCTCGAGCGTGGGAACTTGTGGCTTGTTGACCACGGTGACCGTCGTCGCCATCGCGCCTCTCGTTGCTCTCGTTTGTACTCTTCTCTACCAAGGATACCGATGTCGAAGTATATCGTCGCTGCTGTCGCTTCATCTTCAAGTCACTAAAACATAATCTTGCAGTTCTCGACACAGATACACCCAACAAGAGGACGAGCACCTTGTCGAATACTTGGCGACTCAAGCTATCGGCTTCCAGGCTACGAGAGGCAACCAGCTCTACATGAAACTGGTGGATGTGCGTTCGTCGTCTGCTTTCTTCCTGACTTGATTGAATCTCTTGTTTTCTGCAGGACGTGCAAAAATGGCCATGGGCAAAATCACGTAGCTGGCAGTCTTGGAGAGACAGATACGTCAAGAATCAGGATACTTTCAATATATCTATCAAGCGTTATCGGAAGAAGATGGCAGTGGGCAAGGAATTTGCAGTGATCAACCTTGGAAAGAGGGAGCACGAGTCCGACAAGGATGTCGCGGTGAAGAGACCGAAGTTCACGGATAGTCGCGATGAGGCACAGGAAGACAACGACCGGACGAAGGATAAGGCTAGATCAGAAGCGTTGCCGTCAACTAAGCAAGCAGTCACGGTCAGGCCGTTGCATTCAGAGGATAGTGGGAGCGGTCGCAGAGAGCCGACTACCGTTCAGAAGGAGGTGTCGAAGGCGAAAGATTCCACAAGCAAGATGCCTGTGTCGTTGTTCACTCAAGAGTCTGATGAGGAGTCTGACAGCCAAGAAACGCCAGGTCCAGACGATTACGGCGGCGAAATATTCGGGGATGATGTGCAGGAGCAGGTCATTGAACAGGCCATGGATACGGAGCTGGGCATCAATTCTGATCACGATCCAGCGGATGTGAACGAGGTCGCAGAGTTACTCACGCCTTCGCAATCCAAAATTTCGTACGTTCTTTATTCTCGGTAAGTTTTTTTTGATCTGAATATTTCTTCAGGCATAAAATACTTCCGTCTCCTCGCCTTATCTACCCCGATATATCCCAGCTGCCCTCTCCTCATTTACGTACCAAGGAGGACCCTCCCCCTGCCGCATCCAACTCCGATTCCAAATCCATGACGAAGCAAGATCATCTTCCGCGTCCTCTCAACCGACCCCTTCGCAAACGTCATCCTAGCTCAGATTCGGGGTTCTTTGAGTCACCTGTGTCGTCTTCTCGCGCTCCCTCTCCACAGCGAGTACGCCAGCTCCCTTGTCTCACAGAAGGTCCATTTGGTGGCCATCGACTCGCCAGTGGCAGAAAACGTGGAGGATCGAGTTCTGATTCTGATTCTGAGCCTAAAGAGACTTGGCCCCCGGTGAGGGGCAAGGCGAAGAGGAGACTGACTGCTTTGGAGAAGGGAAAGGGGAAAACGACGGAAGAAGCAGTGACCTCGGAAGCCGTACCATTTAGTTCGCCATTTTTGAACCAACGGCCTTCATCTCGACATGCTATCGATAGGTATAATTCAGTGGACAAATTGTCGTCCTCGCTTCCGCCCTTCCCTGAGCGACTACAGCACGTTCTCCCTTCTATTCCACGTAATGTTGGATCTTCTAACCCGCGTCCGCGGTCCCTAGTAGCTCCTTCCGACGATGGCGATGAAGAAACAATGTCTAAACTCTTGAGTGATGGCAATCCCTTTGTTGTCCCTCCGGCGCCGGAAAAGCCTGTCCCCTTCCTTGATCTATGCTCTATAACGAAGAAACCACCCCAGCGACGATATACCCTCGCTGCACCTGCACCTCCTCGAATTGATCTACGGAAGGAGGCATTCAAGCGGGCGTCGCGAAAGTCGTTGCCGGGAACATCAATTTCAGCGCCTGTCCTTATCAAGGACTCGATGACTGAACTTGGAAGATCACTGATGCGTAGCTGGACGAGACGATTCGGATTACCTGAAGATCGCGTGAGGAAAGTGTGGGAAGAGGAGCTGTCGATAGAGAACACGGAGAAGCGGTTGCAGCACGTCAAACACGAGCATGAGAAAAGTCTGACGCCTACGAAGAGGGTCAAGAAAAAGTCTGCGCCGAGGATGGATATCGACGTGCTGCCTGACAATGAGGATATCAATGGATACGAGCCGCCGTATTTGTCCAGGGCGCGCAGGTTTGCGAAACTGTCCAAGCAAGGGAGGGTAAAGGAGGCATTGGACCGGGATCGATGGTTAGCGAGTGAGGGTCGTGTGAAGAGCAAGAGTCCTTTGAAGAAGGTGTCGCCGTTATGGGGCAAGACAGAGGATGAACTCCTGCTCAACGTGAATACCCACAATGCGAACTCGCTGCGGGAGCTTGAGAAAAAGGTTGGGTATGCTTTTATGCTGGAGAAGGTTCGTGATGTTGCTTTGTTGAATCTGGCGTGAACATTGTGTTATGTATCTGGATTGTGGTTTCATTATTGGGCTGAATGGATGAATCTGCAAAGTTCGCTGGTGACTATTTGAGGTTCTATCGGATGGCGGTTAGTTTTTCTACCTGTTATTCGGCAATTCATGCACGTTCGATGTTAGCACCATTTCTCCTGCAATACAGATGCACGATTATTTTTGTTCTGATGACGCTGACGAGATCAGGTGGTTCTGGCTTCTTGATAGGGCTGCAACACGGTCACCTATAAAAAGGGCACATACAGGATTTCTGCCTTTGCTCTGTACCCCAAAATGGTGCAGGCCGGCTTTCTCCTTGCCGCGTTGGTGTCTGTCTCCCACGGTTCCTATGTCGACCCAGCGGTGTTGGACCAGTGTTCAGGGTATGATCTCGAAGATGCGACTTGGCAGGGAACATCGTTCAAGGCGAATCTCATTCTACGACCTGAGGGATGCGCTGTGTTCGGGCCAGACATTTCAACATTGTCACTTGAAGTGGTGTACGAAACTGGTGCCCACCTTTTACTCGTTTATGTTTTCCGCTTTGAATCTCATCATTACCTTATAGAAACACGAATCCATCTGAAAATTGCTGATCCCCACAATGCGAGGTACGAGGTCCCGGAATCCGTCTTGGTGCGCCCATCGTCGAGCGGCGACATCGTCCCGGACAACGCTTCTATCCAATTCAATTACACGGCATCGCCCTTCTCGTTCTCTATTTCTCGTACTTCAACCGAGGAGGTACTCTTCACGACCGCAAACCATCCGCTCATCTACGAGTCGCAGTATCTGCGCGTCAAGACGAGTCTCCCGCAGGACCCGAGCATTTACGGTCTTGGCGAGCACACGAACCCATTCCAGCTGCCCTTGAACACAACCTTGACGTTATGGTCACGCGATGCATATTCCGTTCCCAACGGGACTAACTTGTACGGCAACCATCCTGTCTACTTTGAGCATCGTACTACTGGGACACACGGCGTGTTCTTGCTCAATTCAAATGGCATGGATATCAAACTTAATAAAACAGAGTCCGGCGAGCCAACGCTCGAGTACAACGTCATCGGGGGCGTCCTTGACTCTTATTTTCTTGCCGGTAGCGAGTCGAGTCCTGTCGAGGTTGCGAAGCAGTATGCAGAGGTCGTCGGACTGCCGGCTGAGGTACCCTATTGGTCTTTCGGACTTCACCAGTGTCGCTTTGGCTACCAGAGTACGTCTTAATCGTTCCTGTATTGTAGTGACAAGAGTCTAAGCATATTGTCACTCTAGATTTCGTTGACGTTGCTAATGTCATTACGAACTATTCGGCTGCAGAAATACCCCTGGAGACTATGTGGACCGATATCGATTACATGGATGGGCGCAAGATCTTTACCGTTGATCCCAATTACTTCCCTTTGGACAGGATGAGACAGATTGTTCAGTACTTGCATGATCATGGCCAGAAGTACAGTGAGTCCGGTGTTTGATGGATGTCTCTTATGGTGTCAAATAACGTGTAGTCCTTATGACCGACCCCGCCGTGGCATTACAGGAGGGTTACGAACCATATGATCGCGGAACCGAGATGGACGTTTGGTTGAAGATGCCCAATGGTAGTGCAGTTATAGCGCTTGTCTGGCCTGGTGCGTGCTACATCGTCATATCTTCAAGTGCGTGATACGGAGATGTTTGAATGACCAGGTGTTACTGTCTATCCTGGTGAGTCGGGCAGATGCTGATCGATTGTCAAACCTCTGAACCCCATATCAGATTGGTTCCACCCGGATATACAGGAGTAAGTTTCCTCGTTGCTGGAGATAAAGGTTGTAATGAGATGCCTTAATAGGTACTGGAGCCAAGAGTTCGAACAGTTTTATAACCCGGGGCAAGGCCTTGATATTGACGGCGCATGGATCGACATGAACGAGCCTTCCAACGTAAGAATGGAATCTTTTTCTAACTTCCTTCGCTTACGCAACTTCTAGTTTTGCGTCCTGCCTTGCGAAGACCCGTACCAGCAAGCGCAGGAACAAGCGTTGCCTCCTCCCAGGACGTCTCTGCCTCCGGATCATAACGCGCCTATCTTCGGCAACTCGACTTCAGCATCGAAGAGAGAACTCGCGAAAAGAGATGACCTTTTGGATCCTCCCTATGCCATCAACAACGCAGCGGGGGAGCTGTCTAGCAAAACCGCATGGGTATGGAACCTTTGCCTATTGACGTTATGCACTACTTATATTGCTTCCAGACCAACGCAACGTCTGCGAATGGTTTGAGCCAGTATAACACGCACAATCTATATGGAACCTTGATGTCTAATGTAACGCGGAACGCGATGCTGAACAGACGTCCGGGCTTGCGGACTTTGGTCATAACTCGGTCGACATTTGCAGGCGCGGGCAACTACGTTGGCAAATGGCTTGGTGATAATGTCAGCACTTGGTATCACTACAGGATCAGCATTGCTGGTATGTTGGGCATGGCCAGTGTGTACCAGGTTCCCATGGTAGGAAGTGATATATGTGGGTACGCTGGAAACACAACAGAAACCCTGTGTGCTCGCTGGGCTATGCTGGGAGGGTTCTATCCGTTTATGAGAAATGTAAGCTCCTTGTGCGTGATAAGGAAGAAGGGACTAACGCTTTGTCGTAGCATAATTCGGACACCTCCATTTCGCAAGAATTCTACCTTTGGCCTACTGTAGCCGAAGCGGCTAGAAAGGTTCTTGATATGCGGTAAGCTTTTGAGTTCATCTTGCGACTTAACTTATTAAAACGCCGTATAAGATACCGTCTCATGGATTACATCTATACCGCTTTCCATACAGCCAGTCTTGACGGAACGCCCGTGCTCCAGCCTTTGTGGTTCCAGTACCCTGCCGACAAAGCGACGTATTCCATCGATCTCCAGTTCTTCTACGGTGACTCCATTCTTGTGTCGCCCGTAACAGACGAAAACTCAACTTCCGTTAATATCTACCTTCCCAATGATACCTTCTACGACTTTACGTCTCTTACTCCCATTAAAGGCGCTGGCCAACAAGTCACCCTCACCGATATCGGGTTCACGGATATTCCAGTATTCATCAAGGGAGGAAGGGTCCTACCTCTCCGGGTTCAGTCGACTATGACGACCGTTGAGCTTCGGAAGGAGGACTTTGAGTTTGTCGTCGCGCCCCGTGCGGATGGGACTGCCGCGGGAAGGTTGTACGTGGATGATGGAGTATCGATTAAGCAGAATGCGACCACAGAGGTGGCGATGAGCTTTGCGAATAGCAAGTTGGAAGTCTCTGGCAGCTTTGGGTACAATTCTGGTGTGAATGTCGTGAGGGTGAGAGTACTAGGGGTTGAGGCCAAGCCTGGGTCGGTTTATGTGAACAACCGTGAGGTGAAGGGTGACGACTATGACGAGGCCAACAAGGTTTTGGATGTTCCTGTTGGGCTACCGCTGAACCAGGACTTCTCAGTATCTTTTTCATAAGGTTTTGTGACGTTTCTTCTTTAAATTCGAAATGTATCAAGTGGAATGGACAATACATTTGTACTACAAAAGCATATAACATAAGCACAAAGATAGGGTACCAAAAATGAACGACTTGGAGTTCCAGCGTTATCTTTAAATTACAGGCCTGCTAGTTGACGAAGTGCGATACTCTTGAGCTCCGCTTTATCTGTCTTGCCGTTTCTGCGATGGAAGAATCAGACATTGTTGGGAGATAGACATTGATCGGGATACTCACTTGGTCAAAGGTAACGCGGGAACCGGTAAGAACTTGCAGGGAACGGAATACCAGGGCAAAATCTGACAAGCAGCTTCCTGGACGCTCTTGGCGTCGACACATGAAGGCGTGAAGAACCCTATGAGCTCGTCGCCAATCAATACTGCACATGCCCCCGTAACTGCGGGGCATGATTGCATAGCTGCACTGACACCATCCAACTCTACGCGAAAACCCTAAATGGTACAGGTGAAAAAGATGTTCCACTTGACTGCGAAAAAGAATCATACTTTGATCTTTACTTGATCATCGACGCGACCCAAATGGTCGAGTGAACCGTCTTCTCTCCATTTTCCGATGTCGCCAGTGTTGTACATCATCCTGAAAGCATGGTCAAGTTGAGTGAGAATGGCTGAATGGAGATAGGACTTGCCCGCCAGGAAGGAAAGGATCTTTGAGGTATCGTTGGGAAGTCAATTCATCTAGTCCGAGGTATCCTTTGGAGATACCCTTCCCGCCTGCCCACATAACGCCAGGAGTCCCGAAAGGAACGGGTTGCAGGAACTCGTCCAGGATGTAGACGCTGTTATTCGCTGTCGGCTTACCGATGGAGAGGGGCGTGTAAGGAACGTGTTTATGCATCGTGTTAACTATCGTCGTCTGCAAAGCAGATGAACCTTTCATATCACCTGAATATTCGCTGGGATGGCTCACCTCCGTGGGTCCACAACAATTGTAGAACGTCGCTTGAAAAGCCCACCTGTCTGCTAATGATTGGGGGCAAGGCTCTCCAGCCGTAGCAACCACTCGAACATTGGGGAAGTCGGACGGATCATGGGGGAGCAGAATAGACGGGGTAGCGACTATGATATCTACCGTCTTCATGACCTTGATCCAATCTGCCCGTCGGGGACCCCGCAAGTATAAAGTCCCGCCATTTATCAGACACCCTAGAGTTTCCCATGCGCACATATCAAAGGCTATATTGAGGAGCTGGGCGACTTTCATCCCTGGTTTTATGTGCAAATTCCCCGGCGATAATGAGAGTACTAGAGAGGAATCAGTATGAGAACTTGAACTCGACGCGAACGGAGGAAACGCACAGTTAGTGACATTGGAATGGCTAACCATTACACCTTTAGGCTTGCCGGTGGTGCCTATGCATGATTAGTATTGTATGCGGGTATGGAGGGTGATGCATACCTGATGTGAATATTATGTAGGCAGTATCGGAGCTTTGAGAGAGATCTTCAACCGGGCCGACAGGGACATCTTTGATGGAGTGAAGTATGTCTTCAATGCATCCATAGGGATGACAGAGTAGGTTCCTGCGAGAGATACATCCTTTGGACACCAGAACGAATGCGGGCTTTGCATCATTCATGATGCTTTTAAGTGTATCATCCTTGGTGATATCGCCATCCAACGGAATATATGCCGCGCCAGCGCGCAAGATTCCAAAGATGGCGACTACCTGAGCAATAGAGCGCTGGGCGACGAGGGCGACAAGAGTTCCTGGGCAAACACCACGGGCTCTTAAATACGACGCAAGGAGGGAAGATAGATGGTTGAGGTCGGCATAAGATATGGAATTCCCCTGGTGATCAATGACAGCTCTCTGCGAGGGATTGGCTCGTGCCACAGACACAAAAGCATGGTGGATACACTTGAACGGTGTATGCACTTCTACGCCAAAACTGTGCCTCGATGTGATCGGAAGACTAGGTATCTTTTCAGATACCTTTTCCCCCTTCTCGAATTCGGGGACGCGGTGGTAAGAGTACGACTGGGCGCGTGTTGTGAAAAAATACTGTCCCAGAACAGCGAAAATTACGTAGCGAAGATAGCGAACACCGGCGCTGAAGATCCTCGAGTCCATGTCGATTGCCCGGACCCGGAAATCGAGTTCAACAGAGAGTTGGGCATTATAAGGTGTCAGAGCGGAATTCAAATGTCGCTCATATCAGAATAGACCATGGATCCCTTGTCAGAGGGAACGAGTGCAGAGAAATGCCGAAAAGTGCTGGCGACCAATTATCGACAGACAAGCAAGAGGTCAAGGACATTACTGCCTCCGATTCATTCAGTGTCACATGGCAATATCAGTAGATCATGGCTAGTTGTTAAAGGAACCACCTGTACTTTTCTCTTCCCGTCGAATTTCCGATGATCAACCTTTCAAAGTCACTCGGTTTAGTGCCCCAAACGTGCGCGTCGTGGACCTATATAGTGATCAACCACCCACGGAATTGTACCCAGACCACCGCAGCGATTGATAGGCATCATGACACGGCACTTCCTGCAATTCGGAGGCACGTATCAATCAATATTACAAGTCATGAAAACAAAAAAGGCTACGACGAATACAAGGCACTATTGTTTGACAATGCTAGAAGGATAGCCAAGCAATGATAGTATTGACGGCGTCCGTATTTTACCCGACATTGCAGATGCAAGTACATCGCTAGGCATATGGTCTTGAACAAAAATTTACATGAAGTCAAGAGGACTTCGTGACATTGGGTAGTCAAGCAGACCTCGATCTTGAGTGAGTAAAATTCTGAAAGCAGTTCAAGGAGTTCCGTTACCCTGCAGCCTTGGCTTCATATTCCTAAGAGCGGTAGTGCGCAACTTTAAGTCAAGGAACGGAGATACCCGGGACCAACTGATTGTCCATCTTATCTTATCTTCAATCTAAGTTCGTCCAGCAATCATCTCTTCTGATGGCTGCATGAGATTCGCTGACTGTATGGGGTAAATCCGCTCCCTACTCAGATGTGGTGCTACTACTTGTTGATGTCGAATTTCCTTCTTGTCTCCAGACCACTCTTTGCATAGCAAAATTTTCTGATTCCATCGCGAACCAGTATGTTGCAAAGGCATGTCTCTTTGTGCTGCATCATCGCCGACCCAGACTCTCTTAGGCCATGCGGCAGTTACATTAGCATGTCCTCGAATCATTCATACGTGGCCGCCGCGACTTCGGATCTTCTTGAAGTAACATCAACCATCACCCAACCTGGTGACTCGTTCCTGCGTCGTGTCGCAGATATACTTGGACGGGTGCACGATTTCTCCGTCAAGGCAGGGAAAAATTTACTGCATTATCTCAGTATACGTGGTGCAGGAATGGCAGGTCCACGAATCAGAAAAATGCCTTACCCCAGGAGTAATGGGACATGCGGTTATCAGAATGCAACGTCATCTACTTGGCGTTCTCTGTATGCTTTCTTCCTTGTCATTCGTACTCGGCCCAGCCTGGACGCGTCGCTTTTACACAACCGGAGGGACATCCGTATGATATAACCACCGGGGGGGTTTTCCTTTCCCCCCTTCCCTCCAAGCCACCATGAGCAGCGACGCGTCCACCGCCTCATCTAGTTATACCACCCTTCCTTCCAACCTTTCAACGACAGAGAAGACTGCAGTCATCTACTCTAATACCACGGGTCCCAAGGAGATCAACGAAAAGCTCGGCAATCCTTTGGATGGCTACGAAGATCAGGACATACCCAAGAAAACTCAGTCGCGTCCCGTCCGTAACTTGCGCCTCCAAATTTTTACGGTCTACCGTCGTCTGTTCTCTGTAGCTTTCGTCATCAATATGGCCATCTTCATATCCTACGTGGTTCACGGATATTCCTCTTTGAGAGTGGCCGAAGTGGTGGTAGCGAATCTCTTCATAGCTGTTGTTATGAGGCAGGACTATGTCGTCAACGTGATCTTCTACATCCTACGTTCGGTACCGCAATCGTGAGATCTCGGTGGTTTTTTTTGTGCCTTCTATTTCAATGCTCACGCGTATGTTAGATGGCCCTACTTCGTTCGGAGCTGGGCTGCGAGAGCATACCATCATGGAGGCGTTCATTCTGGTACTGCTATTTCTGGCGTTATATGGCTGGTCCTTTTCACAGTCCAGGCCACGAAAGAGTTGGCTGACGGCACCGGTGTAAGTCCTAAGTCCTAAGTCCTGTTTTTGGAACTGAAAACAGTTTATCAGGCCTCAGCCGCAACCGTGGCAATAACCTATGTCATCTTGACGTTCCTGATTATAATTGTCGCCTTAGCCTATCCACCATTCCGAATCAGGCATCACGACGTGTTCGAGCGCGTACATCGATTCATGGGTTGGACAGCGACTACACTGGTGTGGGCGCAGGTAAAGGTCCATCTCAATAAAACCTTTCTCGAATTCTGATCAAAATTCGACAGGTGGTCTTACTAACGAATGACTATAAGGGCTCTCGAGCATTGGGTGTTGCCCTAGTTCATGCTCCAGCTTTTTGGTTGATGATAATATTGAGTGCGTCCCTTATCCTTCCGTGGGTAAGGCTCCGCAAGGTCGATGTACGGTGTGAGGTCCTCTCCGATCACGCGGTTCGCATGTATTTTGAATATGGTATGCCATATCTACTCAATACTCTCATACCACCTCTGACAGAATTATTCACAGCGACACCGATACCCGGCTCTTTCGTGCGCATTTCGACAGATCCTCTGTTCGAATGGCATGCGTTCGCCACCATGCCTGAACCCGACATGAAGGGATTCTCTCTGCTCGTATCAAAAGCAGGCGACTGGACCACCGAGATGATCACAAACCCGCCCACAAAGATATGGGTCCGGGGCATCCCAACAACTGGCGTTCTGACTATTGCGCCGCTTTTCAAGAGAATCCTCTTTGTAGGTACTGGCAGTGGCATTGGACCGATCGCACCACACATTTTCGCCGGAAAAGCAAATCATCGGCTGATATGGACAGCGCCGAACACGCGAGGAACCTTTGGAAATCATATGGTGGAACAAATTCTGGATAAGAGCCCGGACGCTTTGATTTGGGGTTAGTCAATATCTTTGGACGACGACGCGCAGATCCTTATTGGTTTAACCTTTTGACAGACACCCGCAAACAGGGAAAACCCAACATGGTCAAGCTCATCAACCATGTAGTGGACGAATACAATCCCGAAGTCGTCTGCGTCATATCGAATAACAAGTTCACGCAAAAGATTGTGTATGGACTTCGTAGTAGGGGCATGCTTGCTTTGGGTGCAATCTTTGACTCCTAGAGTTGTAGACGACCTCACGAAATGTTATTGCTTTAGGAAAATTAGACCATTAACGATGTTGCAATATATTTATACGTAACTAGCTAGCTAGCCCAACTTGTCAACATTGCACACGATACTACATGAATGTATATCCTACCACGAGAAGTAAAATATCAGACTAGCATACCCACCCAATAACCCTTGCTTGTATGATGTTTCGATCGAAGGGATCGCGTATATCAGAATAATCACTTCATTACTTTCTGGTGGTAGCTTTATAAGCTCGAAGATAGCGAATGCGTTTTATTAAGCATTGTGTATAGTAGCAGTGCACGTAGTTAACATTTATGTATTATGCATTATGCCGTGATTAATTGGGCAATTCAGATCGAGGAGGAACAAGACCTGGTGCACAGTAAAGCATGACAGTCAATACCTCTGGTAATGCAACCAGCGGGTACCAAAAGTGCTCATCAGTCTCCTTTTTCAAATTGCTGATAGTGGCGGCGAGGAAAGCCTCGCGAACGAGGAGGAGCAGCGATATGGCGCAGAGGATAAAAGCGCCATGCCTTGCCCCAAAGCCCGCTAACTGTACTGCTCCATATCCTGAAATGAGTTAGTCTATAAATTCCGGTGAGGCGAGAGAAAAAAAACATACTATCTTGCAGCTCTCTCCTTATCAACACAAAGGTAAGGTATGCTTGAACGACGGTAAGGGCCAGGAAAATGATGAGGCTGGCCTTCCGGAGGGCAGAAGCACTGGAACTTGACGAGTTATCGGAGCTGGAGGTTATGCCAGCTATTCCTAGTGCCACACCGACCATTAGGAGTATCCTAAACAGTCTGCGGTTACTTCCAAGTTGATGTAACCTATCTTCTGCAGGTGGAGCTTTGCTAAGGAGACCTCTAGGAATCAATGATGTAAATCGGTGATTTTCTGCGATACGGATGTCTGACTCACCGGTCAAGGACAAGAGTATAAGCGGCATATAGGAGACCAAAAAATCCAACCGCAAACAGCACTTGATCTCCAATCAAGAGGTTAAGATTTTCTCCTGAAGCGGCTGATTTTATCATGATAGCGCGTATTATGAACGCAGTAACGCGAACTATTCCAGACATTCAGTAACATTTCACGAAGAAGAGATAGCAGAATTGCTGACTTGCGCAGAACAAAGCCAGCACGGCGTAAACATAAGTGGGAGCCCCGATGAATCGCCAAGCAAAAAATCCGCAGAAGAAGAGATAGACGATGGCGAAGATGATGGCGGCAGCTGAGGAGTTATAGCCGTACGCCTCTGCATAGTCGATAATAGTCATTACTTGGGAAGCAAAACTGAAGGAGGAGTCGTTGAGATGGCTCCATAGGCGTCCTCAGGCTCCTTTATATCATTTTTTGATAAACGTCGACACAGCCGATCACGTAAGATCGGATAGCACGGTTATTTTTAACTTGAAGCTAAAAATTGTTCTGCATGGATGAAAACTGAAGAACTGGCAGAAATACAGCCGACATCTTCATTCGAGGTGCAGTTCTCTGTTCTGAGTCTGTCGTTTGAGGATCTATATTTATAGGAAGTCTAAGAAAGCGTCCTAAACCTGGGAATCAGTGTGCCGTTGGGTCCTGTTAGAGTCCGTCGGCAACAGATTGGGCGCGTCGGACGTCGTCGAAGAGAGTTCCTAAAAAGGGATGAAGAACCCGATACTGCGGTGGTCCCTTACAGCAGATGGAGTTTTGTTCTTCCCTCATGGCAGGGCTCACTTGGTTGACGTCAGTACGTACCTTCCTGGCCGAAAGGCAGACCTTGAGAGAGAAACAGTGCGTCATTTTGGCAATCCGAAATCATTTTTCTACTTAGCTGGTGTCCATGTGCGGACCTCAATAGTCAGCGCTCAATTGAGCAATTGACATTATGACACAGCTTTGCGGTGTACTAGGAGGGCTTAAGCTGTATCGGAGCATGTTAACGGGGGAATGGATTAGCCAGCCTATTGCCACAAAGTACAGTCCCATGCCTACAGCACATAGAACACCCCTGAAAGGGTCACAATTTAACTCGGAGATGCGAGCTTAAATAACATACCTTGATGGCGCGGTCCGCCGCCGGCCATACAGATAACCACTCATGTTTAGTAGCCAATTCTTAGTGTTAAGTTTAAACATAACTGCCAGCATCCTACCTGAAAGCATGATTGATTCACCCTTTCTCCAGGGAATTCTCGCCCTACCCCACTCTACGGTGAAAATAAATTAGACCTTTGAAGAAAATTTACTACTCAAATGCTTATGTGTTAGATGAGCCTACATTCGTAGTGGATGACAGAGCGACAAAAATGCGCTAACCGAGCCCAAACAAGGTAGCTGTAAGCAAGTGCTACAGTAATAGGTGATGGTTTCGAAATCTCAACTGGAACCATTATAAGGTGGCCGCGCTGGGAAACTTGTTCCAGCGGTCACTACGGGGGATAGACGACTGCTTCGAAGTCATGGTTTGACAGGGATTCTTCCGATGCTATTGATGGTGACGAGGCTTAGCAGTGCTCCTGCACAATCGAGATCGGTTCGCCAAGGCGTCAATTGTTCGGTCGAGGACTCAGTGACATAGCATACAGCTTTTAGAAAGGGCTGCTGCGGCTCAACAACATCTGGCGCAGAAGCTGACGAAAATTTCCCGGTGAAGGTTTTTTATCCGAGTTTGTTCTAAATCTGACGGCAAATGTCAATTTTTCATCTACCTCGATTTTCCTGTCAACAGGTTAAGTCCTCAAAGATCAAATATCATGTTACCAAGGTTCGACAGTGGCATTGGAATCTGGGTTTCCCTGAAAGCATGCGCTCAACGGGAAGAAATCTCTCATCATATTAATAGTATTTAAACAGTGATTTAGTATAGGGGTTAGGCCAGAGGTTCGTATAAAATTTCCGTTGGCATGTAACGAATCAGAGAATCAAAATGAGATACACGGATGTCAAATAAGATGGAAGTGTAAGTAATCAAGTCCGTGTTATGAATGCCCGTTGGGTCGGTGTATCCCACGTCGCGGAACCGAAGCAAATCAAGCGCGACCGAAATAAACAAGAGCATGGTACGAGGCCTCTTCCCTAGCGGTGCGAACGTCTCTTGCGCTTCCCTGACCGCAAGAGACATCATTGACTTGACAACATTTGTGTATTAGTGAATGTTCAATGACAGGCCACGAGGCGCACATACCGTACGCAGTTGAGGTCCACGTACCATTGTTCTGGGGACCAGTAAAGTTGTCGTCGAAACGTAAAGCCCATCCAGCCTGGATGCAGAGATTGTTCAAATCTGTGCGGTAGTCTAAGAGAGTGACATTTTAGTTTGACTGGATGGCGACATTGCTGAACGCTGAACTCACGTCTTCTGTCAGACATTTTTTGAGTCTATTGAGATGGGTGGATGGGTGGATTATGGATTGTTGCGTTAAACGGATGGTTCATCGTCTGTCTTTTATACCTTTCATATACATTGCAACTCGTGGTGAAACAACGTTGAAAGTAACCAAGACAAGTAGGGCGTTCCAAATCATGAGTTACAGATACAGCAAAAGATGAACACGAGGAGCAGGGAGACACTGTATGAGGGGGAGTAGGATCAAGAGCTGAGTTGACAGCAAAGAGTCTGAAACACTGCGGCAACTAACATTCATCAGAGCTTCCGGAGAAAGGCAGCTTGCAGGGCAAAGCGGTAGCAGGCTCAGGCTTCAAGTGAGTTGACCTTCCTCGTGGGGATACAGATACAAGAGGGTGCTCTTGCAATGACAGCCTTCCGGTGTACAAGATAACCTGTTGAATTTTCAAACAAGTGATTCGTTCGCATCCGAGGCACCGCGGGTTTGTGCTTAACGCAAGCCTTCATTTCTACACCAACCCTATCAGTGATTTAACAGGAAAGAAAACCATTCACTAAGATGTTGACATGACACGATACGTATCCTGCGAGAGGCCGGAAGAGAATATTCAGACAACGATCCATTGATATTCATAATTCCAAGAAGAAGCTATGTATTGATGGGCGTCGATCAGGATACGAGACTGGTTATGATAGCCGCTTCACCTGGTGGAGGCTATACCTGTAAAAATAAAACACATTAACAATTGACCGGACCATAATAGGTGCTGTCATTACTTGCCCGATGCGCGAAATGAAAAGAACAGCTGGAACAGCAGACGGGAGGAACAGAGAGGTTCCAACTCGGAGTACAAGTTGCAGAAAGATGCGGAGAAACCGGAGAGATGAATGTGGTGGTGAAAGTGCAACGGCACTAATAAGCGAAAAGACTGCAGTATGACATGGCCGACTAAGATACTTACGAGGAATGAGGATATAAGTAGCATGTTCAGTTACCACCTAAGAAATATGGATTCAAGAAAGCAGCTTAAAAAGTACAGGACAATTAATATGAGATTTTCGAATATCAAGACTGGTATGGAAAACTGCGCATGATGGAAAGAGGCTCAGGGAAAGTGAGAAGTGCTGCGATTGGCCGAGGAATAGTGACATAACGCAGGTGGTCGCGTATATCACCAGTCCTTCTCACGGTCTCTGCCATCTGCCAGACGCGCGACCGACAGTGTTCAATGCAACGGCCTTGAATTCCAGTATTCCAGGAGCGATTTCCGACTTTTTCTCCCCTGAGCGCAGCTCCTCCTAGACAATAAATGACGCAAGCATCTGGTCAATAAAGCACATCGCCTCCGATTCGACCACGAGGACGAGAGGACTGGTTCCCGTTGCCGGCTGAAGAAAGGCAACGGGCGTTTCGAGGTTATTCTCTGCATACAGCTGCGTAGAGATGGGTATCAGCTTGTACATGGAACCAGTAAGTACACTTACTGCTAAGCGATGGACGGCATGGAGCTTCCATAGGTATCGCCTGTATGCTGTCTCGATGACTCTGACCCGTCTGTATCGCAGATTAGAATTTAAACCAGAATTATTTTCAAAAAATACTGCGCGTTTTATCCGGTGATTGCTCCTCCTTTATCCATTTACTAATCTTAACGTTGTGTCCCCCATTCACGCTAGCTATCCTCACTTCATCCGCGAAGATCTCTTGTGTCCTAGCATCTATGGTATCTGTCCGTGCGGATGTTGTCGTCTGTTTCGTCTGGATGATGTATGCGGGCTGTGAGTTCTTCAGTAGGATCGCATTGACGACACTATTCTGGTCGAACTCGGTGGTGACGGATTTACGAGGGTCAATACGGAATCCATTGGATCTACGGTTTCAGGACGGATACTTATTATATCATTTCTATAAGCACTAAGGGAATCTTCGGATCCAGTGAGCACAGCTTGAAAACCACTCACATGAGCAACAAGCTAAGGCCATCATCCAGACTGGGCCCGCTATACTGTTCAAATGCGCACGCGCCTGAGTAAGAGAAAAATCCTTTGTTTTTGGCTAGCTGAATGTTCTAGGCGTTTTTTTAGGTTTCCGTATTCCCAGCACCCTCGCTGTCTGTACAGTTGTGCGAGGAAGGACCGTAGACGACGGCGCAGCGTAATCAAGAGAAACGAAATAGTCCAATGCAAGGGCAGCACAGGAATAGCGTTCGGCGAGTTTCAAATACTCTCGTACGACTTCGGACAGAACGCCTCGCTGTAGCAAGTGTGATTGGTTCCGTTCGACTTTAATGTCCGAGCTTGTTGTTTTGCTGTGCCATACCCGAAGTTTCGAAAACCAGAGAGTCTTGAGACGCGAAGAGATGCCTGACGGGCTGTACCTATAATTAAGCGTTGGTAAGCAGGTTCACAGCCGACCATTCTCCCGACTGATGTACTCCTCCGTGACCAGAGCCCCATTAATGTTCGGAGCTGAGGTTGTTAACTCTGCGTAATATGGGTACTCCAGTAAAGCTCCAGGCCATCACAACAATCCCAGTTCAATCTCAACGGAGCCAGTGTCACACCATACAGCTACTTATACATTCTGATTTTGTCGCGTCTTGGTCGGAGTGTGCGAAACGCAGTGCCACGCACAGAAAACTCGAGCCGAGTTCGAAACTGAGGAGATTCTTTCCACTTGAAGAGGTAAATATCACTCACTCCTGTATCTTCAAGTTACCAACGCTCACAAACTAATCGTCCGTGGGCCGCAAGCTCACCTGCATTACCCAGAAATATGAAGCCTTCATTTGCCAGTATAGAAGATGGACAGTAGAATTCCCAACTAAGATGACATGACTCTTCAAGTCGGGGAGAAGCTTCGCGAGCACATGAACTTGGTACGTATCCTTTTCATCTACATGAAATCTTGGCGTTCATCTAGTCCCAGTAATGCAGAAGTTTCCGGATGTCGTGTTGAGTCCGAAACTGGCCTACCACTGACAACGTCTTGGGAAGCGGCCCTAGGGAAAACAGTTTTCATTGGTCTATTTGGGCGAAGGTGCTCACGGAGATACAAAGAACCGCATATATATGGTTACCGTCATGTTCGTCGACGACAATAGTCTTGTTGAATGTCGGCTCGAGCAATATCACCGCCTCTCAAAAAAGACGGGCCGGCTCCAGTGAAGTGCGTCCCTGCAGCAGGGATTTCTTTGTTCCTGCCCAGTGCTCGACGTCTTTTTTACCGCTGGATATGACAATGTGTAATTCGAAGCAGAACTAGCCGGCGTCGATAATGTGAGAACTGAAGTGAGGTTGGCTTTTCTGCAAATATAATGATGCTGATCTTGATACAGGAATACTATAATACCCGGGAATTTGGTTTGCTGACGAATAGCCGAACAATGTATCGGGCCTCATAATTTTGATCTGCGTCATTTCCTTTCCGTTAGCGGTCACTTGCCGTACCTATTACATCACCGGTGAACAAAGACAATATACAATGCCATAAGCTCCCGGCCTTCGTGTCTCCAACCGCGGACACCTACTCTATACTCTCAATCGTGACGTTTTCAGGTGCCGTACAAGATTGATCCATTTTCCGTTTCCAATCGTGCGAATCCGGGGCATCTTATCGCAAGCGCACCACATCTATGGATAACATCTCTCTTTTTGAACCTCGGAGCCAATGAAACCGTCTCACCTCCATTGATTCTCCCTTGGGCCCGCGCTTCCGCGAAGTACATACTGGTAATTTCCTGTTAGCTGACATCAGAGTGCTGCAACTAGTGCCGATGACCGAAGGTTTGATGAGTGCCTCGCTTGATACAGCGTCATCGCATAGTTCACCTGATGTGCTATCCAGTGCTGAGACTCATGCAAATGGTCTTTCGAGATTGGCAGGAGACCCTGCAAACCGGGCAGTGGACTTCACCGAGTCTTATTTCCCCCTTGAAGAAACGGCCTTGATAATCACCTTCCCACAGCTTCAGTCAAATGTCTTGACGTCATTCGACGGGGCCGTCTCAGAATTATTCTTACACTCGATCAAATTCTTTATCGGTTATCGTCATGTGGGTAGGCTTATTTGATACGATGTACTGGGCAATTTCCTCAAGTAAACGGGTACTGCTGCTCGACGGGGCCGTTTCCAGAGGTTCTTACATGATCAAGTTCTTCATCGATCCTGTGAACTTTAAGGTAGGCTCAAACGGGTCCACGTATTTAAAGTCATTTTCAATGGTATCCTCTTAACAGTATCCTGCTCAAGTCTTGCGACATGCACCGTACTTCAAATTATCTCCTTCTTTCCGTGATTGTATACTTTCTCATCGCTGTTGCTTTACGCCTTCGGAAGCGTAGATCTGCCATTCGGAGGATTCGCGGACCCCCACGTCCTTCATTTCTATTAGGTTTGCTCAGCTTGACTCCGGCTTCCAATCTTTCATTCTGACCGCTGGATATCAGGTCATGAAGCACTTCTCCGTAATCGTGAACATGTTGGCGACTTGGAGATGGAATGGTATCAACAATATGGCGCTGTATATCGCACTGGCGGATGTTTCGGGGTCAGTGGCGCTTGTTTATCTTTCATTGATAATGCTGACACTCAAAGCAGCAAGATATTTTGTTCGTCGCTGACCCTAAGGCGTTGCAGTACATTTTCCATTCGTCCGGATACCGTTTTCCAAAGACAAGAGACATCCATCGTATCAATGAGGCTTTCGTGGGACCAGGCGTAGCCACTGTGGAGGGTATGCCGAAGAGTTCTTCATTGTGAATGTTCTTCGATTGATACGAGTCCTAGGTGACATCCACCGACGCCAGCGGAAAATTCTCGGTCCTGCTTTTGCAGCATCGCAGCTTCAACTTTTTTTGACTATCTTTCAAGAATCAGCCATGAAGGTACGTGGGTACACCGGCTTTCGTGATGTTGGCTTATTCGAATCCTCTAGCTTACAGAGAAGATCAACGAGCGTGTTGGGGACGCCAGAGTCCTCAACGTGTTGGAATGGACAAGCAAGGCTGCACTGGATATCATAGGCATCAGTACGCATTTATTTTGCACATGTGATTGTCACAGTAGTTTACTGCCTACTCGCCAGCCTCTTTCCGATATTACTTCAATTCGCTCAATGACGGGCAAACCGAGCTAACTGCAGCACTTAGAAATGTCTTGTACGTTTTAATCACTCTATTCATAATGGCTCGCAGACTCACCTTTCATAGTGGCGAAGCTCAGATGTGGCCGACGACATGGGAGCTTCTGTTTCCTGCACTCTGGCGCATCCTTCCCAAATGGCTGCTTTTACTGCTCGAGCAGCTGCCTAGCAGAGATACCGTGCGAATGAAGCGCTTTAGAGACACTGCGACTAAAGTATCCCGGCCTATCTTCGAGAAACAACTGACCGAAGTGGCCAATGATGCCAATCCAGCTGAGAAGGATGTCGTCAACGTTCTCGGTATGTGGGATGCATTACACTTATCGCACTCCTTTCTCATCTCGGACCAGCAATGTCTTATCTCTCCGACGATACGAAGAAGAAGATGAGCGACATAGAAATCGACTCCCAGCTAGCGTAAGCTGCTTCGACTTTTGTCCCTTTCGCTTAGCTGAATTGAGTTTGATAGGACGTTTGTTCTAGCGGGCCATGACACCACTGCCAACACGATGGCCTGGCTACTCTACGAACTGAGTCGTCATCCTGATGACCAAGCGAAGATACGTGAGGAGATTGCCATAGCGAAAGCGAACGCCCCGAGGTCGCTTACTTCGAGCGATTATGATTCAATGCCTTGGCTTAACGCTACTATTAAAGTGTGTCATTGTTCCACGATGTTTCGAGCTCTGATGGATGATGATTGGATCATTACAGGAAGTTCTGCGTTACCATCCTCTGGCGTATGGCCTCTTCCGTGAGTCGGCTCAGGATGATATCTTACCCCTGGCCGAACCTATCATCACTTCGAATGGTGACGCATGTTCAGAAATCCCTACTTCTAAGGGTCAGGTCATTTTCGCCTCTGTATATACCTATAACCGGTCCGTGGATTCTTATTCCATCAAGCGCGGCTTTTTGACTCGTTTTGTACTAGCCTTCCGTCTGTCTGGGGTGACGACGCCGCAGAGTGGAATCCTCGTCGATTCCTTGGAGATCGCGGAATCAAACAGGAATCTCTTGGTGTTTATGCAAATCTGTATGATCCTGTCTCTGTCATATACCAGCTTGCTAATTCCGACCATTGATAGGTTGACTTTCAGTAAGGACAATATACCCTTGTTTGAGTTTCTTCGTTGATTACCTCACAACTGCAGGTGCTGGTATTCGTGGGTGCCTTGGGTGAGTACTCGAAGCCTCGGAAACGGTGGATCAGATTTAACTCGATCAATAGGTGGCGATTCGCGTGAGTATGGAAGAACTTGTCAAATTCTCTGACCCTCACTGTCTTATAGCGTTATGGAGTTGCAATCGGTAGTCACAGAACTTCTCAGCAACTTTGAATTCAGCATTTCGAAGGGAGCACCGGAGTTGCAGCATGGTCCAGCGGGCTTCGTTTTAATCCCCATCGTTCCGGGAAAGGCGAAGGAGGGACCGCAGATCCCGCTGCTTGTTACCCCTCTCAAGAAGTAGGGAGGGTTGCTACAACGCGGGCACCAAGATGTGATGTATGTTTACAAGAATTACTACGTGATGAAAGTTGTACACTTGGCTAAATTCGAATGAAGCGCTTCTACTTAAGCCTTACCAACGAATGCAGATTGAGCATCCGACAAGAGGTTACATTTGATGTAATTGATCTAAGAGTGTTAAGCTGCTCTTCCAACTCCAGAAATCCATGAACACTCTTGGTAAACGGGCCAACCTTTTCATCCATATACCATCGGGAAATAACGTTCCTCGTCTTCATGCTGATTTTTTGAGAGGGGATCGTTTTCCGGACCGCTAAAGTCAACAGGTCACTCCTTTGAAAGCTCTTGGGCGCGTAACCCGTGATGGTATCCCGCAGCCGTCCTTACCTTTATCTTTTAGGTACGTCTGCCCATGCTTGAGGTTCTGCGAGTTGTGATGATGTCAACCAACATACAGTTGTGGTCATGATCAGCTGAGCTAGTCTCGTAAACCAGATGCGACGATCCGTATGAAGGATAATCGTTCAATGGATGTAGAAAAAAAATGAGGCAAAGGGTTTGAAAGGTGCAGATGGAATGCTGCTGAGAGATGTTATCTTTGTAATGAATACAGTGTTACACAGATCCAGTAAAGTTCAAGAAGCTCAGCAACTAAGTAATGGCGAATAGCAGGGATTGAAGTCTTATAGTATTATTTATTTATTATACTTGTACTTATCGTGGCGAAATATGAATAATGTAAAAGATTAGTAAGAAAACTCCGCTCTGGGCGCCCATTTACTCTAGCCCGTCATTAATGTACACTTTCAATTCATCGTCAGTAATCGAAACGTATCTTTCCTTGGCCCATTCCTGTATAGCCTCAAAGTTCCGGCACGTATGCACAACATCATCCCGCCGCCTCACAACCTGTGCTTGTTCATTCCACTGCCACGAGATGGGAGTGATATCTGCCGCACACATCAGCGCCTGGCGAACATGGCCCAAGCAGTGCGCGACGTGTAGTTTCCTGAGTGGAGAGTCGACGCCTGGATAGCGTTCCGGGTGCAGCGACATTCGTACCATGTCCTATTTTAGTAGAATTAGTTCGCGTGAAGACTCGGGAGCAGGATAGGATTTACCAGGCAGTGTAGCTGGTGGAACACGTCCAGTCCGCTCATATAATAGCCTTCTTCGTGAGGCATAGGATAAGTGCGATTGGTCATCTCCATCGCCTCTGATTTTGAGACTCGACTGACAGTGTCTGAGCATAGCATCAGATACGGGCTACATCCGACGACCACGAAGCACTTACATTGGTATAGTTCTGCCCAAGCTTGATCTACTTCGTCTGTGGGTACTTGTTCGTAGATGGGCATGTCCCAAGCAAAGCCAGGGTTGAATTTTACGGGATGGTACGAAGCGACATCTTGTGCTGGTGCTAAAACGTCGTGGTGAGAAACACTCCGAAGAATGGCGATATTCTGTACATACAGTATAGCTTCCAGTCACTCTTGCACTCGGGAAACTGGAAGTACCAGGTGTACAAAAATAGAGCATTGAGGATGGCCGAAACCCCAAGGAGAATAAGAGGAGACTTCGTCACCAGCGCTGTTGGCGAGGAAGAAGAGGAAGAAATTGACGTCGGGGGATAAGAGTATTTCATTGTCATTGTGACGGTATTGTCCCATCCATCGCGTCAACATTTATACTTGCAGAGGCGCTCAGGAACAGCGCCAAATGATACAAGCACTGGTACCGATGCACCGCTTTTCTCGCATCTGTTTTACAGATATTATCGGATGGTTGCCTAAATACAAAAAATAGGTCTTCAGCCGTCTGGGTCTTGAACGCTGCGACGAAACTCACAGACAATGAAACCAGTGATCCGTTTCCGAGTGCTATCAATTATCACTTCCTGGTGCACATTTCGCGCCAGCACCAAAGTACCTTGAATTGTCCAGCCACGAAGATGGGAGAATTATCCCGCGGTTCAAGATACGCAGTCGAATACCGATGGATGGTCCTCGTACAATGAGATCTGCGTGCGAAGAAGGTGGAAGATGAGTCATCGGCAGATAAGGCGTAAATCACCGTGGTCCATGACGTGATCAACGGTTATCCGCAGACAGGACAAGTTGAAGACAGCCATAGAAACGAGAGCATAGATACAAATGCTATGATAATCCCGAGAACATCTCCCCGTTTGCCGCAACATGATAATGGTGCCTGACTGTATAATGTGAGACGTTTCAAGTTCGTAACGTCGGAAAGACGATATTCGCGAGTAAATTGGCCGGTGATCCATATCCAATTATCAATGGAGATCATTAGCTCGAAAGGGACGGAGATTGTCTGTAATGACCTTCCTCAGATAATGAGACCGTTCGTAGGGACTTTGAGCGCACCGATAAATCACGATTATATACTGCGAGAATGGTAAAAAAGACCCCGTTGGGGACTGGCGCAATCTGGCCGAAAGTGCTAATCTGCTCCCTCGTGATTGTTGAACATCGCAGCTATCCTTGAGATGATATTCGATGGCATTGGACAGGTAGAGAGCGTAAAAAAACGATAGCCAATCGCGGATGGAGATGCCGAACATGCCGATTTATCACGCAACGCTTACGGCATCAGCACGTGGCCATGTCCTTCCCCCACTTCATTGTTCCCGAACGTACAACTGGCCACCGTCTGCCCTAATTTTTCTACTTCTTGATAGGCGCCCTTGATGGGCAGCGGTATGTGGTTCTAGAATTGCTCTACATGCGCTCGGCTGTATTTAACTAGTTCCTACAGAAGGCCACCATGGATGGATATACGTGATACGCAAACAGAACAACCTCCCAGACATCGACGGAAACCACAGCGCATTCTCTCCCAGCACCGGACGCCGAAGGCGCCGATAAGAAAAATCCTCAAAGCGAAACCCTGTCTGGGATGAAAGAGTCAGATGTCTCTTAGAGGAGTCGGTGTGTTCATTGCTTCTGATTTTTATTCTGTGATGTATTTAACTAGCGCTGCTGTTTCAGCAAGGGATTAAAAGGCGCCCTACTCATTGACCCTTTCCAGCAGGAGATATTGGAAAACGCTCGGTTTTGACGCACACCTCAACGACAGGGCGGATAAGGTACGGCGGTACGCTGTATGAGAAAAGGGGCGTCGATGGTGCGGTACGGGTATTGCCCATATACTGTATACGGATGTCGTATAAGAGGATGATGACCTAGGGCAGGTAAGCTTTGTGCTCAAACCGACGTATTTCATTAATTTGACACATTACATACTAAAATGAATAGGTGTCCTGGCAAATTTGGCCTACTCATAAAGGTCCCGTACAAATATGGCCGTAAAAATCGAATTCCGACCACCGACGGTACATGGGCCCGTGTATACAGTACCCGTATTCTACTATATGTACTGGTACTGTGGGCATCCCTACTCGATAGATTTCGACGCGGAAATGTTTGCTGGAGCTCGCGATATGATCGATATCCTGCTAGTTTTCGTGTGTCTTAGGTCTTTACTTCTTTCGTAATTTTGACGCCGTTATAGACCGGTCTTTTTTCTGCGGTACTTGTTCAAACATCGCAAAACACGCAGCCGGATTACAACCAGACCTCTGCACTACTTGAGTTCGCAAAGCTACTATGTCGAATGGATCGAAGCCCACTATCCTACTTTCTCTCTCTTATCCGTCCATTCTGCCCTTATAACGTTTCGTTAACGTTCCACGCCCGCTGCCCAAACCGCTTCCTGAACGACGCCCTGCTATGTCATCCGTGGCTTCACTCGCTTCGAAGCAAAGAGCACCTTCACAGACAGAGGCATCAAGGCTGGCGAGGAGACTATTCATTCGTGCTCGGGATCATGTCTATTGAGCGTGATCTTAAACACCTTGAAACCTCTTCCCAGTGAATGTAGTGCTATATTCGTGGCATCTCTTCAGCAGCAGACAGAACGTCTTGGACCTCTCGTGCCATCTCCTGTCGCAGAAACGGAGTTGGAACTCTACTTTTAGAGCATTGCAGCTTGTCGTTAAGCATCACGGCATACTTCAGCGTTTACGCTTGTATGACTCCCCGCCATACGCGATGGGTGGTGTGGGGTGATTAGGCGTCTCCTTCGATTGAATATTATAGCGAGGAGTCTTTCACTTGAGTGTTCCTTGAGCACGTTGAGGCGGTTGTTACGATTGGGGAGTTGTAGGGTATCTTTGGCTACCCCGGTGAAGAGGTGTCTATGATTATAGAGTGTGTACAGAGAAATGCCGGTTTGGCTGAGGAAATATAGGTGAGCACCGCCTGTTCGATCGCTGAAATTATGTGAAGACGCATACAGTGTCGATGGAGAATCTCTGTATGAACCGTATGTTATGAATACGCTCATCCTGTTTTAATGCCGATCGACAAAAAGGCTGACTCTTGCTGTAGATTAGTGTGCATCTCGAGTTCAGAAATACAGTTTTCCAGCGAGGTCATCAATCTAAACTGGGGCCGAGCCCGTCCTGATTGATTCGCTTGTAGCAAACAATGCTGAAACCTGTGTTGCTATCTTAGAAAGCAGCTAGGTACCACCGCAGTAGATGAAGAACATTCAGAACACCTGTAGCTGCCTTGTTCAGATGAAACGTTCCCCAGAATGATGTGGAGAGGCGATAAGTGCATGTGGCAAAGGCCTCAGGTTTCGCGATCGGTGTCACATAATATTTCGCATGTCTTATCAAGCTAATGCCTATTGGCAGATTACGGTATTCCTCGAAGCATGCACCTTCAGAATCATCACAACTCCCCTCCCGAAGAAGAGCAACGTAAAATGTTCCCTCTCAAGGTAGCATGACTTATTTTTGCCTCTCTTCCTCAGTCACCGCAGTCGGATCTATCACGACGGAACAACAAATAGTTCGCGCAGCGAGTTCTTTTCACAGCATGGAGTTATAGTTTTCACAAACTGTGATCTGTGAAAATAGTGGTCCAAGAAAAAAATATTAATCAGTACGTTTATGATTGATATATCTTCAGAAGGCCTTATTACTGCTATAGGAGGTGGGGAGAGGTGCGGAATTCCTATGATCGCAGCTGCCTTTTACTATTGATGGAGGATGGTAAATGTATTCTTGGAGTGTTACCACCCTCAATTGTTGCTCAGCCTCAAGGGATCTTTCCTTTGTCTGGCTCTGAACTAGTGCCCGTCTAAGCGCCATTGATGTCATGCTGATAGAATAAGAACTTAATTTTTCCAGGAGCCGTACAAGCCGTGTCCAATCATCGACTGAAGATTGTGACTTGTTCATTTCAGTGACAGTAGGCAGTGCAAGGCGACATGCGTGGGGACTTCTTCCTTCCCCTTGCATGCACGCAAACACCACGATGCAAGTGATCATCATCTACCGGAGTGATGCTTTTTGCGAGGAACGCAGTCAGAGTGAGTCAAGCAGCAAAGAAGCACGGCATTTCGGCATTGTGCCCATCATAAAAAGGACGCCCAAGCGATGATATGACCCAAGGAAACCTTCCTTATCACCCACATCATCCAAACACTCATATCTACCAGTTTTATTTCAATGGCTCCACGAAAAGCTCATGGTCAAGCGGGAGGTCTAACGCGAAGTGGTACCAAAAGAGGTACATCTAGCGCTAGCCCTGCCGCTGCTCAGAGCGGCCTTCGTAGAGGGTTTGCAGACCAAGGTACTCTGCAAACCTCTGTTTCTATAGCTTGTAAGTCGTTGTCTCAGGGGTAGACACGTTAATCCATCTTTGATTTCTTAACTTTCTTTGACTGTCATTTGTAAAGCGGCTGTCGAGGTCGTCGGTGTCAAGCGTCCTGCGTATGGGAAGGAAGGACGTCGGATTAAGATTTTCGCAAATGTTTGCGAAGCACCTGTTCCTGAAGGAATGATCTATCAGTATGACGGTTGGTTTGTTCTTTCGCAATCCTGGATGTCAGAACTGAGCCTTTGCTCTAGTTCAAATATATTTCGGCTATGATGGTATGCTCCGTTGCTTATGGCGAGTTCGATGGCTGAAATGATCTCCAGATAAGGAGAAGAAATTCGATATGTCTTTGAACAGGTCTCTGTTTGAAAAGATGCAGAACGACTTTGCGAGCATCTTCACCCCGCCAGCGGTTTATGATGGGAAGAAGATCGCATTTGCATCCCATGAACTGGATTTGGGCCCCTCTGCTGACAAGCGCCAGGTGGGTTTTTGTCTTCCCTCACCGTGCATTGCTTATGTCCTCATAGTTCGACTTGTGGTGTGACAATGGTCCAGATCGCCCCCCCAAGCATTTTATCATCTGTTTGACGAAATCGAGTGTCATCAACTTGGAGTTAGTCCGAAGACCTTGTGCCGTTCTCCTTGACACTGACGAATGCTCCAGGGTCCTTCAACGGTTTACCAAGGGACAACAATCACTTGATAATGAAGTATGGAAGGCGCGCACTGTGAGTCTTGCTCTTTTCATTCATGGATCTTCTCGTTGACGTGGCGTAGGCCTTCAACGTTGTTATTCGAATGGCCCCATCTCTCATGTACCCTTCGCGGGGCCGGTCATTCTTCATGCGCGAGGCCAAGTCTATTGGCTTCGGTCTGTCGGTTTGCCAAGGGTACTTTCAGTCGATATTTCCCGCCGTCGACCGACTTCTCATCAACGTCGACACTACGACTGGTATTATGTACAAGGACGGTCCTCTCATATCGCTATGTCTTGAGTACCTCAGCTTGCCTCAAGACCAGGCCCACCAACTCGATCCCCGACAATTATCTACGTATGAGAGGATTCGCCTTCAAAGATTCCTCTCAGGAATGAAGATTGTTCCTACTCTAGCCATCAGCGGGGCGCGCGGCAGGAAAGGGAAATCTGTTACAGTCAAGAGGCTCACTGATCAGCCAGCATCGATGCTGAGCTTCAAACCTCGTGGTGGAGGCGTGGAAACAACTGTTGCGGCATACTTCCAAAGGCAAAACCAGCTGTTGCAGTATCCACATATCATATGTGTAGAGGTTGTACCGGTCCTGTCACCTTGCTTTTCTTCATCATTCTGACATTCTGCCTAGACACCCTCAGGTGCATTTATACCCTTGGAGAAGTGTGAGGTACTTCCAGGACAAATTATCAAGAAAGAAATCCTTCCGGAAGCCACATCTGCCATTGTCAAATTCTCCACGAAGCCGCCTAAGGAACGACTCACAGCGATAAAGAAAGGTGTCGAGGTATGTCCGAGTATTTCTCTTTGCATGTGTTCTCAGCTCATGCTTTATTATAGTTGCTCCAGTATGGACAATCTGAGTACCTTAAGGCCTTTGGCTTGAATGTCAAGTCAGACTTGCTGCCTTTCGAGATTGATGCCCGAGTTTTACCTGCTCCGAAGCTGCAATATGGAGGCAATACCATCATTGTAAGTTATTCTTATTCTTCATGGCTAACAGAGGAGTCTAAGATCATCAATCAGACTCCTGCATTTGGCTCGTGGAATATGTGAGTGTTTAAATGTTTGATAAATGAATTGCCATGTTGATGTTGTGTCATAGGGTTGATAAAATATTATACAAACCAGCATCAATTAAAGAGTGGATGGTCATCATCTATGCTGACCACTCTTTGATGCCTCTGAAGGATGCACAGAAGATGGTTGATGACCTGGTTGCAGGATGTCAGTCAGTGGGTAAGTTTGAGTAATCAATTCTCTGCGCAGTTAAATCTGAGGTCTGTGACAGGCATGACAGTAGAAATGCCATTTCCAATGCTCATATATGAGAATGGAGCTGGGAATATTTCTGAGGTATGGATGTGCATGGAAGTGTGTCTGAAAACAGTGCTGATAGGTTTTTAGCAACTTATGCAAGCGAGTGATCGCTACAAGACACAGCGTTATTGCTTTCCTGATCTAATTGTGGCCATTCTTCCAGACTATGGCAATTCTGGTATGTATAACACAATCAAACAGTGAGTCATATATGATAGTAGTAAATCCTCTTAAATGATAATCTCTGTCATAGTTTTGGGCAATTCAAAGTGAGTAGCAGTATAATTATACTGTGCAAACTATTTAATGATTTGTGATATGCAGGCTGGCATTGCTATACAATGTCTCAAAGCTGGAAATTGCATCAAAGCCAAGATACAATACTGGGCAAACGTTGCACTGAAGTAAGTGATCATCAATCTATCTTTGCTTTCAGAACTGATGTGGCTGTTGATTCTTAACTCTCAGGATTAATCTGAAACTTGGTGGCATCAATGTTATTCCTGCTAGTGAAAGTTTCAAAGTGATATCAGACCCACAGAATGCTACAATTGTAATGGGTATGGGTATTGCTCTCTTCTGATAATTTCAGTGACTGATATATACAAAGGTGCTGATGTTATGCATCCTGCTCCAGGAAGCATTGCACCATCATATGCTGCATTGGTATCAAGTGTTGACAAGTTGGGCATGAAGTATATTGCAAAAAGTAGTATGCAAACATCAAGGCAAGAGATGATATCTAGTCTGAGAGATATGGCAAAGGTATGATTATACTCTTAGTCTGCTGGTTAAGTAATTTTATTGATCTCATATTTAGAAAGCTATTCAGTCATATATTAAAAATAGGTCTGATGTTGAGAAAATTACAACTGCACTTGCAAAGCCTAAGCGTTTGATTTTTTTTCGAGGTAAGTCTATTAGTATTTATCTTTAGAAAGTCTTCTCAATATTCTAAACAGATGGAGTATCAGAAGGGGAATTTGAGCAGATTCTAGAAAAAGGTACAGTCTCACAGATATTTTGTTTTATCATTTTATTGATGCTTGTTCAGAACTTCCACTTTTGAAAGGTAATACTTTGGCAACTCTCTAATGTATTATTTGCTAAGTTCTTTTAGCTGCATGTCAAGATGTCAATGTGAATCCTAAGATTACTTTTATCATAGTAATCAAGAGACATCATATTCGGTATGTCAAATTTATGTACTGTTATATTCAAGATTTTTTAATGCTGTCTTCAGATTTTTCTCTGATGAACATAAAGACATTGATAAAAGTGGGAATCTTATTGCAGGAACTGTTGTTGATCAAGATATTACCAGTCCAGTTCTTTTTGACTGGTTCTTGCAGAGCCATGGTGGTTTAAAAGGCACTAGTCGAAGTGCACATTACACTGTAAGCATATTTTGAATGATTATCTCATATACTTCAGTATTGACTTGATAATAGGTTCTTCATGATGTATGTTCTATGATTTTACTTTATTTTTTTGTGCTGATTATTGGTTTATCTGTAGGAGTCTAATTTTAGGTGAGATCTCATTTCTGTTAGCCACTTTGCTCAACTGATGAATCTCTTAGTCCAGATGCTTTGCAAGAGCTCTGCTATGTGTTATGCCACACATTTGCAAGAGCTACAAAGTCTGTTAGTATTCCTGCACCTGTGTATTGTAAGTGATGAGATTCCTGAAAGTATTATGAGTATCTGATCTTTCATTGGTAGATGCACATATAGTCTGTAGTAAAGCAAAACAGCATTATCTTATGGGTTCAACAATCTCAGATGCTGAGATCTCTGGTTCAGTAGAGTATGATTACATCATGGAATGCCACAGGAGTGAATACAAGGCAGAGGTTCATCCAAACCAACAGAATGCCATGTATTGGATGGTGAGTAATTTGCTCTTGTGAATGAAACATGATAATTAAATGAAATTCATATGCTTTCAGTGAATGACAGACATTCATTGATGGACTGTGCTGTGTAATACTACCTATCTATTCAACTCATCTGAATACTTTCTTTTTTTTATGCTGTTATCTTTACATGCTTTGTCTCTGTCTCTTTCTGTGAAATAAATAGTGTCTGCAATGCTTGTATATTTTGTGAAAATAAAACAAAATAATTATTATTTTGAGTGAAATTTATTTACAGCATAGCATGAGCTATCTTGGCTCAAGATCACTTTTGGATCACTTCATATGACCTGAAAGAACTGCAATGATCAGCAAAACAGTGGTGTTGATTGGAAGGATATATCAGCCAGGTGCACTGACTTAACTGTGAGAGCATTCTCTCCAAATCAGCTTGTTTTAGGATCAGGCAGCTGGATACATGTGAGCCTGATGAGCAGTGAACATGGATTCTAATGGGTCACTCTGAGTTACTCTGTTGTAAATGTGACATGAGGACTAACCATATACTGCAGAAATTTGTCACAATGCAATATGAGAGCCCAAATGGCAACTACATGTCTGGCAGTTGATGGTCATGTGCAGCTTGAAATCCCACTCTTGGAACTCAGTCATGGGGTTCAATGCAACTCGAGGATTCAGTGCCACAGTACCGCATTTCTGACCTCAAGTCATTCCAACTTTGTGTTCTTCATTTCCGATGCCCGCATAGTATGGATCACACCTCGCTTGGAGTCTTCTTGGGTGTAACAGGCAGCGGAGGTGGTTGTACTATCGTTGATTTCAGCATGTACTTTCTTTGGAGCTCCTGCGTCTTTGGGTCTGCAGACCATGCGATGGGCTGTCTCGGGCTACTCTTAAGCAGCCATTCAGATACTCCATGGTAACATAGACCGTCATCGACACAAAGCCTTCGCCTGTTCTCCGTAAATTCAGGATAGAGACAAGCTCGGGATGCGCATTATAATCGTGCCGGCGTGCTACTAGCTGATCTTGGATGATAGATTCTCTTGCTTGAAGTTCGGCCATTTTCTGATGACAGGCGACGATCCAGTAACTTAAGATAACAACTCCGAGCAAGTTGGTTTCATATGCTTGTATATCGTACATTTAGGGTGACGACCATCTCTGCGGCCTACTAGTTGGTCCTCCTGGTTGTCTGCGATGCACTCTGTTAGTGCACATACATAGCCAAAGGGGTTTGACTCCTACCCTCGCGAGTTTCCTGCCAAGGACCGGTGGCAACACGCCTTCTGTGGGGAGTGCTCTTATCTAGATGAATTCCGCTGGCGTCAGATCTGATCGTTGACGATAATAAAGTTTTGGACTTACCACACGCCCTCTTCGAGGCGCCGGCGCCATCGTAGTCTTCGTAGTCTTCGGAGGCTCCGTACGCACACGTCGTCTTGCATTTTTCTATGGGGAGGACATCATCAGAATAGCTGAATGTGGCGACAAAGGACATGCCACCCACTTTCTCTGGCCTCGCATCGCCTGAGGACGGTCCTACCTCGCCTTCTTGACTTTTCTCAGGGTCTCGTTTGACGGCGTTGCCGTGTTTCCTCCTGCAGTGCTTGTCCCAGTTCGAGAGCTGGTACGAAGCTCGCTTGTCTAACTTGACATTTTGGCCATCGCACCCCGGTCTAATACAAAATACTCCATATTTTGTCGACCGGGACATGTCGACGAAAGGATCCGCCTCCAGGACCGCGATGCGCTCCTCGAGACTGCGGTGGCTGAAGGATGCTGGACGGCTGGGTTTCCCAAGGGGAATCGATGTCGAATTGGTGGATCGACTAGGAGTGCTGTTTACGGTCTTGACTCGAGATCGCGACGACGCGGTGGCAGCGATAATCTTTTTAGATGTCGTCGGTGCCATGGTCTAAGCTGGTGGTGTTAGGGAGAGGAAACGCTGGGTGATAACAATGTCGTCCAAGGGAGGGTCGATGAATTTTGTACCAACAAAGTTCACACGTGATGAAGCTGGCCAAAAAGGTAGACAAAGTCAACAAACACCGGTCTTGTAGCCACTTGTGGCCTTTATATCTTATTTCGTACAATCAGTGCTTTGGCAAGCCTGGTCTCTACAGAACAACCTACGCTCTCGATCCCTCAGTTAGCCTTGGGAAGTCTGAGCGGAAATACACATCCCATCTTCTTCCCCATTCAGTCACCTCATATCCTTGCAGGGTATCCAAAATCAAGTCTCGACATCCAACATCAATACCACTACCGAGTCCTTATAGTCTGCCTGGTTAACAGGCTGTCAGTGCGATGGTGATCGTCGATAACTTGACAGCGCCCTGTTCGGATTGCTGGGTTGCCGGCCGCAGCCATACATCATGATCCTGACAGTCAGACGTGCAAATTGAGAAGCATAGGTGGACTATCTCCTAGTATTCGCCTGAGCGATATGACTTTTCCGCGACGATCTGCTACCGTCCGGTTGAGCTAAAAATACGACGAAGAGCATGCTCATGTACTGGCTGCGCAGGCTCCTTGCCTTTGATGATATTCCCATCCCAGGCGCATGTTTTTTGGCACTCCAGAGCGTAAGGACAACTACGATGCTTTAGATGTGATGTTTGATGGTGGCTCGTCCTCGTGAATAACTAAGTCTGCACACGTGATCGTTCCTTGCGAACATCGCGATTTATGGTTTTTTAGAAGATATCCGAGTCTTTTGGCTCGGAATACACTGGAATAGATATTGCGTGTACTAAATATCATAAAAAGAAGAGCCGACAGGAGGCAAGACGCACGAATACTTATGTACAGGGTCGGGTCGAGAACATGATCTGAATGTTCGTTCCAAGTAGTTCTGTCTATTTTCTTTGGATGAGATAGTACGTTCCGCAGCCCCGCTCATACCAGGTAGACAAAACCTCACCGGAAAGATCGTTCTTTCTTCCGCGACGGATATTCTAACGCTTCGCGCAAAAAAATCTGCCCTGACAAACTAGACTCTTTCTTTTTGAACAGAGGAAGGGGCTCAGGGACACAGATATCCCCGAAACAGGTCGTACATCATGTATCGATGAGGAGTCCAAGAAACCGAGACCAGAAAGCCCCTGATGGAATGAAAGTTCAGCCGTCTCGTCCACTACTTAGACTTGTCGGTAAGTTTGATTTTTTTTCTAGGTCTTGACGATCAATCTCGACTGGCAGCCTTCATTGCCAAAACAAGCCAAAAAGTCCACAGGGAGTGCAATCTTTACCATTCGTTTGATCATCCTTTATACCCTGAGCTGAACAGAGACACCTCATAGGGATTGTGCAAGATAAACCTCGACGAAGAGGAAGGCATGTTGTTTCGAGCTCAGGCTGAATGACCCAGAGCCATGGATTAGGTGCATTCTACGCCACCGCCACAGTTCCAATAGCGGCCCTTGGAGGGCCCAGATGTACATATGGCGATACCCCCTGGGGCGACAGGGTAGAAAGCCACAGAAAAGTCCGAGAAACTTAGCCGCCGTTGATAGTATTGAATACGGTCCTCTGTCCGGGTGAACCAGGATGAGTCGACACCACGGGAGTCAGTAAAAACATGATAGAACAATTCTGATAAGCTAGAGATCGCCAGGATAACATCAAGGATGCCCAGACTTTCAGGGTCAGACGGTGTCGGGCTGGGCCTTGTTGGTACAAGTTAGAGGCGGGCGGCGTGACGTCATCACTTACTGCTGGACGCGCCTCACGTGCGCCCCTTCCCCTTGACTTAGGACTCGACATCCATTTCCCTTCTGACTTAGCCGGAAATTTCCCTCCAGAATTATCGTCGAACCTCGTTCTTATATTTTCCATGGTCTCCTATGCTGTCCAGCAGAAATCCTCGCGCCGATACCGTTCAGGTATGCCGGCCCAACTTGCCGCGGCACAGAGCAAATATTTTAACGACGAGGAGACGCGTCGCTCCATGCTTCTAGCAGACGCATGGATTGATCCCAACTCAGTTTGCGCCGATAGCGTCTTTTGTCTTTCCTGTCGGAAGACAATACAGCTCGACAAGCGGAACGGTCGATATTATCCAGCCAATTGGAATCGGCACAAGAAGAGGTGTCTAGAGACACAGGCGGGTAGCTTGAGCTTGAAAGGTAGCAGGGGAAGACCGAAGAAAAAGGCGAAGAATTCGTCGTCGAACCCCTCTGACGAGGTACGACTTACTTGGTAACATATCCATTTGTTTTTAACAAGCGCCTTGGTAACTTAGAAATTAATGGTCACTGTCAAACTGCGGCATAGTCTCCGTATCCGTGGGACGACAGAAACGGAGATGGAAGCCATAGCTTATAGGAACGACGTTTCGTCTGATAAAGATGATGCAGATGGTCCTATGGCGGAGAGGTCAGGTGAAGATGGAGAATATACTGAGGTGCAACTTTTCTTATCCTAAACCTTTATGGTGCCTAACTTATGAATTTACAGGCAACGGAACGGGAGTCCAGCGTGTTGCCGCCTAGATTCAATCGCAAACTTTCGATGTCTTGATAATCGTATTACTTATCCGTTGCATACGTTAATCCGGCATTCACTTTTCTTTACAAATACTAATCGAGAGGCGACTCCTAGATGAACGAAATTATACGAAGACTCTTAGGTATAATCATTTGTCCATCTGGGAAATGCTACCCACAACTTTAGACATCAAATCTGATGATCTGATGAACTGCGCTGCCTACAGCAAAGGCCGAAAAAAAGAACAGAGGGATCAACGCACATCTCAAAACGGACATCTTCCTTTGTGTCTGTGACATCACGTGTGCGCGACATTGTTCAAATAAAAGGACAACACGATCCCACATTTCTTTTCGTCCATCCATATTACCTTCTTCCATCTCAGCCACTCGATGCCGTGCATTAGAGCCAACAAAGACACTGCCACTCCACCCCCCTCTCGTTTGTCTGGGCACGAGCGAAAGGCGATCCTTGCTTCCGACCGCTGGGTGGACCCCAAGCAGTTAAAGCCACAAAGCGTGGTGTGTCTGGCGTGCGGTACACACGTGAAACTAGATAGGGGGAAGCAGTATTACTTGCGGTGCTGGAATTACCACAAGGAGAGGTGTATAGAAATCATCGCTTCCGGAGAGGTGGGCATGAGTGGCCAAGTATTTTCTTGCCGGTCATTTACTTTTATCAAAGGCTTCGAAGGGCCCTGGTGTGCTCTCGTCAGATATGCAGGTTGACACCATGTCTGAAGGAGACGTGGTACGTTGCAGCATCATGTTTGTGATTGTTTCGCCTGTTGATTTCATTCTTTCATCAGATCTACTCACTTACGGAAAAGGGATCGTTACCTCCTAAGCTAGCTCGGAAGCGTGATTTGTTTAAATGCTGGATTCTGTAATCTAATGAGCAGAGCTCAAAAACACGCACACCCATTTGTATTTTCATCCAAGTTTCATATATTCGTTAGTAACTTTAGTCTCCTCGATTTACGTACAACATTCCTTCTGGTATTTTCCTCCTGCATTAATGATAACCGATAGGGGTCTCTCCCGTCACTTGTAACGTTACCATGTATTATACAGCGAAGTGAGCTACGAATATACGAAGAACCAACAATGAGGACAATATATGTAGTGAGGCTATTCCCCTGGGAAATCAAACCACGCACAACGGTTGAAGGCGGTTGGTAAGTTATTAAGAAACAAGGAGAATGCAGCCACGTGTGGCGCATGGGGCAGTATAAGTACCGAAGAAGGCTGTTATGCGCGTTTACCAACCCACCGCCACCTGGAGAATACCCGAACTTGATTGTTCTCCAACAAAACCTAATGTCGAGAAAAGTTACACAAGCATTTGAGCGCTTGAACTTGGACTCAAGCGCTCGGCCTGTGCCTGGAAAGAATTGGAGAATAGCGGATAATACAAAGTACGATGACCATCTTTCGCAGCTCTAAGGCTTGTAACTAACACCGGCCTCTCACATCTAGGAGATCGAGATCCAAATCGATGAAAATTTGGACTGTGAGGTACCACACAATATTTCGACCGACACATCGTCGAAATGCCACTGTCATGTCCTTAAAGCACAGGCAAGAAGCTAGGCTGAGATCCCACCGCCGCCACATCGATGCGATGAGAGATGGTTCTCCAGCGAAACCTTGGGTGTCTATGTGGTGTTCCAGATGTCATGTGCGATTTTGGATCAGCTGTACCGCTGTACAAAACGGGGCGTAAAGAGAGCAAGAGGCATTGCGGATAGGAAGAAGGCGGAAGTATAGACATGTATAACAGGTGAATGTGGGGTGTCAGTGTAGCCACAATGTACAGTATTAGCCAATTGGATGAAGGTCAAGAATTACGGTCATGGATAGACAACTTATTGATGATTTCGAATTTATGTTTAGCGTTGCAACGGTACTGTTTCTGATACCCATAGAATGAAACATTCACACAGATGATCCAAGGAATACGGATTCGACGACTCTTAAGACGACATGATTAAAATTCATACTTGCTAATATGGCAGTGCATAAGTCGCAAGCGCCAAGCACGAACAAGCCTGGAGATAGGAAATCAAAGCAACCAGAGTATGAGTCGAGCGAGAAAAAGACTAAACGCTTATGACCGATATGCAGGCACTTCGTCTACGCGGGCCGATTGGAAGTCTTGTTCCCACACATGCAAGTGCGTTTAAACTTTCATCACACACAGTGATACAAGAAGAAGCTGCGCGGGAATCTGCATGAAGTTCTCAGGCATAGAGAAGGTCGTGCAAATGTCAGCTTCGATATTATCTTCTCGTGACCAAGTGGTCCCAGGCTTGTGGCGCCGACGTCAGTTATACTTTCTATTCAACGCCAGTTCTCGCGCCTTGACGAGTTCGACTGGACCACAAAGCCAGAAATCCAATAATTGGTTACCACAGGGACTGGCTTATCGATGCCTTTGAATACTTTGCGTATTCCCTTGACTGATTGAAGGTCAGTACCTCATTGGTCATTCTCAAATGCACCCTCCCCTAATCCAAAGCTACACACGCTTTCCGAATCACAGTGATAGGCGCCGAAAGACGTGTATTCCGTCAAGCGATGGCACTTGTCGACAACCGCCAAAGCCGGCAAATGTCATCTCGTATGCTCCTGCTGCTCCTCTCCGCCTTTATCCAGTACGCCATCGCCACACTCGAGAATATCACAGTTGATGATACAGATGGACGCTTCGTGTACCAAGGGACTTGGAACGACCATTCCATCTATAACTCAGTCTTGGACTATGGCGGAAGCCACTCTCTGAGCGGAGATGGTTCTGCAGACGCCACTTTTACATTCACAGGTTGGTTTCCCCTCGCTACATGCATGGATGCGTCGCTGAGATTTCCGTCCAAGGAGTTGCTGTCTACTACCTCGCACCGCTTTGGCCGTACAAAGTCGATACCGAAGTCACACTAGACAATGGGCCATCCACCACCGTCGATCTGACGGACACTTCTGTTACATCGGTTGGGAATGGCTCAGAAACAATCATGTGGGATGTACGATGGAGCGAGACCGGACTGAGCAATACTCCACATACTCTTCGGATGTCCATGGCGCCTGACGGGCAGTACATCGTCGTCGATGCAATTAAGTACGTTTCCCACCGAGACCCCGCACAGACGCTTGTGCTAATCAACAAGAAGGTACACCGTCGACAAGCCATCAAGCTCGATTCCAGCTTCATCGTCCATCTCACCCTCTTCGTCCTCACCCTCCGCAGCTTCCCCCCAATCTCACAAACCCACGTCCATTGTCGACGCCGTCTCTACTTCAGAAGAAGAAAGAGAGAACATGGTGGCGATAGGTTTAGGCGTAGCCCTCGGCACGGTGACACTTTTAGCTGCCATAGGTCTTAGCGTCTTCTGTCTGCGCCGAAAACGAGGGAGTCCTCGGGTATCGTACCATAGCACTCCATTCCCTTCTGACCCGTCCCCTCTCCTCTCATCAACATCAACAGCCGCTACTACCAGCGCACAGAGAGGCCGCCGCCCTCTGACACACCATAGATCCACACCACCTGTCCCACACGGCAAGGTATATTCATCTATCGGCAACGTGTATACCGTGCAGGATCCTTGCGACCACCCTGATAATAGGCCCCTATTGTCTACGGCAGCTGAAGACGATTATAACCCGTACCACGAGCACTCTCAATCACCATCCACATTCATGCTTCCCTCAGGGTCCACGATGGGTCAGGGGCAGAACGCAGCATCCTGGCTGGAATATAGCAAGAAAAAAAGAGACAACGTCTCTTTGTTGGGTAGCGATTCTCAACCATTCTGGACATCGTCGCATCGTGTGAATTACGCTCAGCATAATCCTCAGGTTGGGACCTTCATGGGGTTCGACGATGCGAGCATAGATGTGAAATCGTCCACCGTTTCAGCACCGATGCCGGCGGCTGAGAAGAAACGACAGCGCTTTCCTGGTGATGTAGCTGGTGTTTCCGATGTGGATACCGAAGCCGATATTGTCGAATCCAAGCAAGAAGTACTGGCTCCATACGGTACCGGGTTTGATGCCCGAAAGGCTGTCGATCAAAGGACTGGGATGGATACGAATGAGGATCGGGCATGGAATGAGAAATGGATACAGGGTCGCACTTCCGGGTACTATCAGTGAGAGAAATTGGCTTGGAAGAGGAGTTCTTCGTTGTATGTGACTCGTAGTTGACAACAATCACAGATGTTTTTCCCCCGAACGATGTAGATACCACATAATGACACCTCGTTTAGCGGCTCCGGAAGAAAGATGCTGTACCGTAAATCGTGGGAGACTAGGTATAATCCTCGCTTCCGATTTTACCTAGTCTGATTGTTGGACAGACACGAAAAAGATAACAACTTGAAGGGTGTGACGATGACAGGGCCCGAATGCGAGTCAAGCTGTCACCTGGAGTATTCGAGTCATACCTCAACTCTATGAGTCACCACGGAGTAATATATATCAATGGTGTCGAAGATAGATTCGTTTCCCCAGTACCCAGTACCCAGTCTTGGGATTGCATCCTCTTCCCCGCTCACTATGCCCTCTAAAGCACACCAACGCCGCAGCCGCCGGGCAGCCCGCCCACTAATTATCAGGGTCCATGATCGTAAAGCCCACATCCATGGCGTCCTAGGAGAATTCGACTCCAAGTGCAATGACATCAACGAGGCGATTGAAACCGCTATCCTCGAGGAGGTAAAGCAAATGTCGCTGCGTTCGGAGAAGAACAAAGGTGCAGTGGTATATCGACCTTCGGCCGAAGACCGTGTTCTGATAGGGGATTCCCAGAGAATGAGCACGAAGAGTTCGAGATGATGCCGGAGAGCGGCCATCTGGAGGAATGGGAGGCTGTTGAAGTGGAGGAAGAAGAATGGGAGGACCTTCATGTCGGGAAGGAGAAAGAGAAGATGTCGTATGCAACTGCGTTGAAAGGAAAGCCCGGGGGATAAAGGGGATGGTTTCGATGTTTAATGGAGAGCTGACGACGTACGAAAGAGTTTTTCAGAAGGCGATCATGGCCTACGCAGTATTGGAGTTATGAAGGATACGAGGGTCGAAACATAGTCGGACGGCTGGCGGGGGCTGGTGGCTCCGGTTACGTTGACAGAACCCTCAGTAGTGAACGAGGCAAAGCGAGAAGATGTAAGGTAGTTGCGATATGTACAAACGAAGGTCATGGATATCATAGTGATCTTTCAGATGGTTTTACGTCTTGTGAAAATGCGATCGTCTTATCCATCTAGTGAAGCAAATAAAAGCTTCACCGTTGTCATTCATGAATATGGTATAAGTCATGGATAAGCTATTGTGAAGGAAGTGAGTGAATTTAACAATTGTCTCAAGCGAGAGGGTACATACATCTATAACAATGACTTGGCATTGTAATCTTCGGCGAATGGATAGTCGGTGTATCCTGTTGGTATAGTTTCTCCACGAAGGTAGAAAGTCTTTCTATCCTATGCGTTGAGCGCAATGTCTCTCTCTAGTCTATACACCAGGTCAGGCTGCAAATGAATACTTCAGTTATCTATCAGATAAGAGAAAAATAAAACATCATACATTCGCGATGAAATGCCTTCCAAAGCCAATCAAGTCCCCTTTATTTTCTGCTGTATCGATTGCAGATTCGCGACTGTATCCTCCCGCTGATATCAATGCCTTCGGAGACCAGACCCGACGGATGAAATCATTCTCCTCATGTACCCCAATATCCTCTTCCTTCCGACCATACAAACCGACCATCCTCGGCTCCACAACATGAAGGTATGCTAACCTTGGCTGCCGCACCTTTAGCTGCGAGGCAAGGAATCCGAATGTGGGCTTTGGGTCGACCATCGTCATCCCTGGTGCATTCTTTGAGCGAATCCCTCGTGATAAGATCATGGAAATGCACACCGTTTGAATTATTCCACGGACTGATCCGGTAACCAACCCTCTCAGGTCCTATGGCCGACGCAACAGCATCCACAACCTCTAACGGGAACCGCACCCTGTTGGAAATCCTGCCTCCATATACATCCGTACGTTTATTTGTCACGTCTTGCGTGAACTGGTCTAGAAGATAACCGTTGGCTCCATGAATTTCTACTCCGTCGAATCCCGCACTGATGGCATTCCGAGCAGCCTGCGCATATAACTCGACGTACTCTCGGATTTCTTCTACAGTCAGTGGCCGAGGTGCGACCGCCTCATGCGATAATCCGACGTCAGATGCAGACACGTAGGGTAGACCCTCGGACGCGAGAATTTTCGGATCTGCTGCTCGGCCTAGCGCCCACAGCTGGCAGAACATGTATGAACCTTTCGCATGGACAGCGGACGTGATCTACTGCTCCGTGAATATAACATTACAAAAATGGACTGATCATTCTGCACCTCTTTCCAAGCATCTATCTGATCCTGATTCCAAATCCCTGGAACATTGTCGTATCCTCCTGCTCGTTCAGCGATGCACATGGCCTCGGTAATAAGAAGGGTCCCGGGGGTATGAGCACGTTGTTCATAGTACTCCTTCACTATGCGAACATGGGGTATATGCGCCTTCGATGCACGGAAACGCGTCAGAGGAGCCAACACTACGCGATGGTTGAGCGATATTGGGCCGACATTTGTTGGTTGGAAAAGTTTGGGAGCCATGGTCATTGTATCATCCTAGGGAAGGTCAGTCCAATTTATATAGGCTACGGGGAAAAGACGAACGGGATGGTCGAGACTCCGTCGGGGGGAATGGCTGAGTCAAGGAACACTAATAACTGAGTAATCTGGTCGGGCAGGCGGAACCATGATTATCTCGCAGGAAGGCAAAAAAATTGGTAGAGCGAGGACAACATATCCACTTCGTATTCGACGATGGTGGTGGAGACAAGATAGGCAGAGAAAGTGTCGGCGCCGTTCAAAATGACAGCCGGCTTGAGTCGGGGGCCGTTGGCAAGCATGAATAAAGCGGCAATCCCCCCATCCAGGCCCCATAGCTCGCCATTTTTACCAGTACTGTAGGTAGCCGAGATATGCAAAAAACAAACCACTTTCTGTAACACGGCGCACTGGCTCCTACCTCTAGAAATATAACTATGGATTAAAAATCCTCTTGTGTGTGTTGGCTTATTTTTTTGACAGAGTTTCGAGCAAGGATGGTGGTGTCGGCCAGATGCCCAGTGCAAGGGCCAAAAATTCGAATGTAAATCTGTGTCACGAACTGTCACAGTGAGGTTTGGAGAGACGTCATATCACGTTTTGTCACGCATTTTCTCTTCTTTTTTTTCATTCAACAGCTTCTACGCGCTCTGCTGCCCCAAAGATTTATCTGGAGAATTATATTATGATATTTATTTACGTGCTAGTCTTTCCCAGCATTTGGCTTCCCTCTATATGCAGTTATACAGTTCTGCATCCTCCAATTTGACCACTATTTCATGTTCAATGTGATGAGCTCTTGCGATTTCTCATTTCTGACTGCTGTAACTTCTTCACATACATCATCTCTATATACATGAATTTTTCCGAGGTCCCAAACAAAAGGGAATGCGTCGATAAACTTGATATGCATATCCCGGCTCAGTTGCACATGCCGATCCACCCATGGGTGCGGAAAAAGGAGGTCTGACACGCTCCGCAGAATTGAACCACCGAAAATCCATAATCATCCATGGTAAACTGTTAAACTTCATCAGTACTTGGCCCACTGGGCACTTCAAGTTCCCACCGAACCGTGGATCTGAGTCTGTTCAGGTGTCAATGAGCTACGCTCCATCTTTGCGATACTCAGAAGCAGATCCGAGTCATGCGATGGATTGACTGTTGAGAACAACGTCATAAGTGTCACAGTGAAAGAAGTCGCGTATTTCTCTCTTCTTATGCCTCCAGTTTCATTCAGTCAGAGGTAAGGAGTCCCTCTTCGCTGATTCAAGCATTGTCGGGAGCTAGAAAAGGTGAAAGAATACGACGATGATTAATATGTAGACGCCGCAAAGAATGTCTGGGTGCGCCGCTGCACACACCGAACCGTCGCTAGACGGAACTAGCAGTGGAAGTGCCTGAGAGGTGAACGTTTGCGCAACAGATATCTTGCAGGGAAGGAGAGGGAGACACGTGCTCTTCTCCCCATTTTGAAATCAGGCAGGCAAAGCAGATCTTCGGTCCGAAAGACGGTACACCTGCCGTAGAAGAAAGATTCGCGCCTGACAGATGGTCAAGCTTGAAGTTCCACCCCGGGTCCCACACCTAGGAAACCTGCATGAGAAGATTCGGCGATAGAAGAAGTGTTATGCATACTTGTTTGGAAACCCTCGAACGAAAAGTTGGGAACCGCGACCACCGGTGTATCGTTCTTCTCACAAAGAGCTGTTCTTCGAACGGGGGCCTTGTCGCGAGCTTGCCGGATCGAGGATTCGAAAGGAGGGAAGACAAGCGTGCCGCCGGCGTTGATATCACGACAACGACCCTGTTTGAGTCAAGTCATCGAAGATGCCCTTGAATATAACATTCCAAGGCCATCACACCCATTCGATCTCAAGCCAGAGGTCACGAAGGGTATAGGAGAATAATTAACATGCTAAACCACACTAAAAGCTACAAAATAGTTGAGGAAGAAGGCATACCAAAAGGACGAACGCTGTAGGTCCTCGAACTATACTAGTACAATATTCCAGATTTCCTGGAACAATATGATAAGAAATCCACAACGAAAAGATAACGGAAGTGAGAAAAAACCAACCATTCGTCAGTCACCTCTCCAACAACCTCCAGTTTTTGGTATAGTCCATAATCCGTCTGATCCATCATCAAATCCACCCAACCCCAAGCTTAGCATATCTTCTTCTTCATCCTCGTCCTCTGAATCAAGCCTCACTGCCCATGACTTCCGAAGAGGAGAACCAGAAGGCCGAGCCTGATCTTGGGCCGATTTCGACAGAGGGAGCACCGTATCGTGTCTCCGGAACACCATCCGCGCGACCAGGTGCGCCATACTGGCAATGACCTTCTTCGGCGACCTTGACTTCTTCTTCATCGGCTGCATACTCCTCAGCGGAGACGACTCTTCGCTCCGCGGCGACATGACGATCTCATCACCCAACTTCAGCCTGAGCAAAGCAGAAATCTCCCTCGTCCTCTCTTTCTCACGCTTCCGTTCGCGCTTCGCCTCTGCTCGTGCCAGCATATCGCCACGATCGAGCATGGTATACTCCAACTGCCTCGCTACACGCTCGGCGGCTTGAGACCGCTTGCGTAGCTCGATCAGTTTTTGAAGGTCAGGATCTGAACAACCGTTGACAACCAAGGGGTTGAGGTCAAAATTTTCTGGGGAGGGGGAACGTGGCTGGGGTACATCATTGGCGTAATCTATGAGTAACAGACTATGACGATCAGACGGTTCTGGTTGAAGAGAATTTTCGTTAGGTGGCGCAAGAAGGGAGAAAGGCTGTATTGGCGGATCGTATGGATCATCTGGTAGATCGAGGGGCTGGATCGTCGGACTAGGATGTGGCACATGAGGTGCGTCGTCCGGGACAAAATCGTATATCAATGAATAGAAAGAGTCGTCCGGGGGAGATTCGAGTTCATCCGGGGGAAGCGTGTGAGTACGCATGGTTGGTGACTGGAGCCACCAATCCACGTCGGAATCGATAGAGTCCAGTTGCTGCGGGGAAGGCTCGTAATAGTGGCTAAGACCAGGTTGGGAATCGTCGACATCTAGAGGTGATAACGGTGACAGCGGAGATGTGGTATTGTCCTCTGGGTGATGCTCTGCTAGTAGAACACTTGGTTCCGTATGAGTAGGACTACTCCGAATATCCGTAATCTTGCTGGACTCCCATTCAGGTGAAAGAGGCGAGAGAAGGCTGTCGTCACTAATGAGGGGGAATGGCAGAGAGAGATCAAGCGGCGGGGCAAAAGGCAGAGGCGGGGCCGCTGGTTCGTCCGTCGGGGGAAGAGCCGTTGTCGGAGTAGGAAGGGTAGGAGGTGGTGAAAGCGGTAGGAATGACATGCCCAGGTCATGGTCTACGAGCACTGGCGAGTCTAGTATACCCCCATATGTGGCTCCCCTAGGTAGTATATAAGCCACACAAAGAGTGGGAAGCGGCACACTCCGCCCCAGTGGTGAGCTGCTTGATGGAGGAGAAGGATACGCGGCCAACACTTCACCTTGCAGGCCATCGTCATCGCAGATGTGGCCTACTTTTCCGGTGCCGTCGAGAGAGGAAGGATTATTTGTACACGAAATTCCGAATAGATTTGAACAAGTCGAATGTGAATCGAAGGAAGCGGATGTAAGGTCATCAGACGATGGCTGCTGGTCGTACACAACCGACGTGTAGTCCATCCGGGCCATTAGGGAGTAATTTCAAGCCTGGATAGAGAATCGTCAGATTGTCCGATTTCCTCGAAAAAAGCGGAAAATTGGTAGGCAGAATATAGGACTCACAGCAAGACAACAGGTTAGAGGAAATAGTACGTTGTCATGGTAGAATCGAAAGAAATGCAGCCCTCTGGCGTGCTGCTAGCGGTGAGTGATGGTGGGGAGATAGAACCTGCCAGTGCGTGCTGGATTTCCGCCTTCTGCATCGTGGCTTAGTCAGCACCTCGTGGTTTCGAATTTGCCATTCGGGCCAAGTCATGTTGCTGGTCCGTTGGGAATTCACTTGGAGCCCGGAGTGATATTTATTCATTGTGTGTAATAATGGACATGTCCATCCACCCTGCCCTGAAGAAGAATCTGCGGCTGATATCCCTTTTTATCTACACATCTAATACGTCTTTCCTAACTCCTAACATCGAGTGGCCGTCCATGGTATATCACAATTGAAGGGAACCTGTTTCTGAATAGACGCTGTCAAAAATGCAGCCCCAGGTTGTCACCAGCAACGTTTTTCGTCTCACACATGACAATCGGCCGTTGGTCACCAGTTTCGTCGTCCGGATGGAATTGTGATGTACGAATGAACCCTGCATAGTGAGAAAACCCGTACGGAGGATCCGTCCATCGATGCTATCGACACGCATGCATTGGATGAAGGTGCGGGGAATAACGGACTTCGGATACGAAAGCGTTATGTCCAAATAATAATAATTTAGATACATAATGCTCCCGTGAGTCGGATAAATAGCAAATGCGATTTCGTTAGGCTGAGTTTCGGCAATGAGAACAGGATACGCTGCCCGAGGTTAGAATCTTCGAATACAAAGCGGACTCCGAAACTACGGATCGCGTTTCCGAACGCAAGGCTTCAACGGATCCTAAGCAAATCCTAAGAGCGTTCAACTGCGGCTGGGCAGGCCTGGTGGGTAGGGCTTATCCTCGAGGATTGGATCCGGTATACTAGACAGATGAAGCCAGACGGTCCAACAGTGCTCTTGCTTCGTCCCAAAAGGACCCTTTCCAACACTACCTCACGCTGATCAGAAGCTTGCGAACTTGATCGATGGCGTATCATTTATCGTTCATTGTTTGTTTTTTCCGGAAAAGGGTCTGGACACGAGAGATAAGTCTAAGCTCGATTCGCCCAATAAAAGAACGGTTCTTCAGGCCTAGGGCGATTACATCAACGCAGCACATGAACGATAGCGAGGCTATGCCTACAAGATCCGAGCAAGCGTTACCAAGCTGGTTCGACGTTTTATATGAAGTTGACGCAACGGTTCCGTAAAGATCGACCGAGGCTTAGAAAAAAGATGCGCCTCGTCGTCGGGCTGCTATCATATAGAACTTACAGTACGCACAAATAAGACTGATCGGATGCGAACCAAAAAATGCGTTAGTCCATACACATCGTTGAGCTGTGAAAATGTCCGCATCTGCGGGTAACAGGCCAAGATTAAAAGGTGGACGTCAGGTCTTTTTCATTTGACCCTTCTCCAACCGGGGCAGTATGACCAGGTTGACACGCAATGCTCAGATGTCCGCTTTCAGCGCTCGACTGTCGACAACACCTGATTGAACCAGAAAGTACATCAATCAATATGTAACCTTGCTGTGAAAAATCCATACTGACGTTCTTCAAGTTATTCTGGATAAAGGTAGGTGCATGAGACCGGCCAAGTCTAGGAAACTACTGATACAGACCAAGAAGACCGACAGATACTGCTTGATGTACTCTGTTTTAGTGATTTTTAGTCGGGATGGTGATTGCCGCAATGCAGAGGGAGCATTTGGGCAAAAGTAAGACAAACCTGGTGTTCCCAGTCAGCTCAATGTACAAGTATTCACAAGCAGATGGGCATCCTACCAATGGTGGTTATTCGTATTTCTTGGGGTGAAGAGTCGGGGGCTGTTGGACGGCCCAGCGGGTGTTGCGTTCACCGCTGCGTCGGTCGCATTCAAAGACTGTTGAATGAATAAGCAGAGATACTCGCATGACAAGGGCATTGTAGATCAGCATCGAGGGGATAACCAGAGCCACTTGAGTTTTTGTTCTGCGCGATACAAGAGAGAGGGCCCGAAAGGAAAAGACACGGGCTGGTTACCAGGTTAGAATATGATCGGACGTTGCAGGAAGGTCGTGGGAAAGCATTAGTAACATACACGATCACGTGCATTAACTAACAGTAATTTAAACAGTAAAAATTTGTTTCATGTCGGACCCTACCACAAAATAAGGGAATGTCATCAACTAAAAATATAAGTGTTGGTGGAGAGATGATGGGGACAAGGAATGGATCAATGAGGGGTTGAAATGGAAGAGGAAACCATTATAATATATATACTCAGAGCAGGGAATCTGTGCCTGCCGGTCAGAACGCGTTATAGATATGTGAAGATGATGCAGAATTAAAACCTACTCTACAATTATAAGGCTCCGCTGCAGCATGCGAGACGATGAACCAAGAAATCAATAGGTCGCCCAGGATTTAATCTCGGCAACATGTACAACTTTCGTAGTAAGATAAGAAAAACAGCTACGTAGTCATAGAGATATAATGTGCACCGTCACTTACTATCTCCTTTGAATAACCACCAGGACCCATTGGTGGAGTTCTTGAGACGAGTGATCATCAACGGGACCTGGGTAGACTTTCCCCTGCTTTTGGCTTAGGTTCTTCTGCTTTTGGCTTAGTTTCCTCTCACCCTGCGGCCTGTATTGCTTTATCGGCAATCGGAGGCGAGCGCTAGTGCTCTGGTGACTACTAGGTATCGTTGACCGGCCTATATACTTTACAGATCGTCATTGGATCAACAATATCTTACCCAAGATCTCTGCGAGTCCAAGGATTGGCCAACACCTGCGGCCATCGTCATGATCTTAACTGCAAGTTATAATGGGATTAAGAGCTACCGAACCTATTATCATTCTTATAGTTCACCGAAAGGGCGAATCAATCGACTAAGGATCATTGAGATGTCAGCTGGAAGGAAGGTTTTCCAGATGGCGCAAGATAAGATTATTGTAATACATGCTATGATACATTTAGTACAAACAAGGACATAAGAAAGAGATATCGATCAGAGAGGGAGAACCTTGACAACGATCAGAAATTCATGGCCTTCGAGCAGCTCACCCAAGGGCCACGATCCTGAAGATGCAACATGTGCCTTCAGAGCAGCTAGCGGCTCTTCGCGATCAACATAAAACTTTGTATCGACAGAAGAGACTGTCCCGGCAGCGGGCCGCTCCTCAAAAAGCGATCCCCGAAGTTGAGCGTCCTTGAGGTAGTCCACCGTCGCCACCGATAACATCCTAGGGGCGGTGCGACGGATGAAGTCGAGGTCGATATTGTTGATCCAATGACGATCTGTAAAGTATACAGGCCGGTCAACGATACCTAGTAGTCACCAGAGCACTAGCGCTCGCCTCCGATTGCCGATAAAGCAATACAGGCCGCAGGGTGAGAGGAAACTAAGCCAAAAGCAGAAGAACCTGAGCCATTGCGCAGCATGCGGAGAAGCATCGTTGCGATTCCTCTGCGACGATGCTTTGAGTGTACCACAAGCTGTGTAATCCAGCTGACGAGTCCTGGAGAGCACAGTAAGTGCCAGAAGTGTATTCCCATCTGTGGCTTACCATCTCCATAGCTCCATTGGGTGGCAAAGGCATAGCCGACAAGGGTACCATCATTGAGTGTACAAAGTGCAAGTGTCGTATGCGCTGGATCACTGAGACACTCCGCACGTGCTTTCGAAGGCGACAATTTTACATGTGCGCCTAGGATGAAATACCTTTCAGTGGGCGAATGATGCCAGGATGGCCTGCGGCATCTGTATTTTTTTTTACACATACCTGGTTTCAGAAGAGAATTTTGTTTAGCAGCTTCGCTACTCCAGACTCCATAGTGGGCCCCAAATAGCTCTGTGCACGCTGTCAAATAGGCATCAGTAACGTCGATACCCTTGACAATGCCGAAATGCAAGTCAGTCATCGAAGAACGTATGAAACAGGCGGAAATGACGTGCGATGATGGGATCGCCCCATTAGTCATATTTGACGCTGATTGGCAATGCTCTCCGTTGCTCGCCGATTGAGATCTTCAACGACGTCGACGACTTATGCGTACTCTCCACCACCACCACCATCGTCAGTTGCACGTCAAATACGAAGTGATATGCCGTCCTCGCTCTGCCAATTTTTTGCCTTCCTGCGAGATCATGGTTCCGCCTACCCGACCAGATTACTCAGTTATTAGTGTTCCCTGACTCAGCCATTCCCCCCGACGGAGTCTCGACCATCCCGTTCGTCTTTTCCCCGTAGCCTATATAAATTGGATTGACTTTCCCTAGGATGATACAATGACCATGGCTCCCAAACTTTTCCAACCAACAAATGTCGGCCCAATATCGCTCAACCATCGCGTAGTGTTGGCTCCTCTGACGCGTTTCCGTGCATCGAAGGCGCATATACCCCATGTTAACATAGTGAAGGAGTACTATGAGCAACGTGCTCATACCCCCGGGACCCTTCTTATTACCGAGGCCACGTACATCGCTGAACGAGCAGGAGGATACGACAATGTTCCAGGGATTTGGAATCAGGATCAGATAGATGCTTGGAAAGAGGTGCAGAATGATCAGTCCATTTTTGTAATGTTATATTCACGGAGCAGTAGATCACGTCCGCTGTCCATGCGAAAGGTTCATACATGTTCTGCCAGTTGTGGGCGCTAGGCCGAGCAGCAGATCCGAAAATTCTCGCATCGGAGGGTCTACCATACGTGTCTGCATCTGACGTCGGATTATCGCATGAGGCGGTCGCGCCTCGACCACTGACTGTAGAAGAAATCCAAGAGTACGTCGAGTTATATGCGCAGGCTGCTCGGAATGCCATCAGTGCGGGATTCGACGGAGTAGAAATTCACGGAGCCAACGGTTATCTTTTGGACCAGTTCACGCAAGACGTGACAAATAAACGTACGGATGTATATGGAGGCAGGATTTCTAACAGGGTGCGGTTCCCGTTAGAGGTTGTGGATGCCGTTGCGTCGGCCATAGGACCCGAGAGGGTTGGTTACCGGATCAGTCCGTGGAATAATTCAAATGGTGTGCATTTCCATGATCTTATCACGAGTGATTCGCTCAAAGAATGCACCAGGGATGACGATGGTCGACCCGAAACCCACGTTCGGATTCCTTGCCTCGCAGCTAAAGGCGCGGCAGCCAAGGTTAGCATACCTTCATGTTGTGGAGCCGAGGATGGTCGGTTTGTATGATCGTCTGGATGAGGATATTGGGGCACATGAGGAGAATGATTTCATCCGTCGGGTCTGGTCTCCAAAGTCATTGATATCAGCGGGAGGGTACAATCGCGAATCTGCAATCGATACAGCAGAAAATAAAGGGGACTTGATTGGCTTTGGAAGGCACTTCATCGCGAATGTATGAGGTTTTTTTCCCTTATCTGATAGATAACTGAAACATTCGTTTGCAGCCTGACCTGGTGTATAGACTAGAGAGAGACATCGCTCTGAACGCATACAATAGAAAGACGTTCTACCTTCGTGGAGAAACTATACCAACAGGATACACAGACTATCCGTTCGCCGAAGATTACAGTGCCAAGCCATTATTATAGACGTAAGTGTCTTGTCGCTTGATGTAACAGCTTTGTGTTGATCATCCCCAAGTGTCAGTTTGTCTTATCCTAGTTAATAATAACAGCAAGGATTGTTTGAGCTACTACGCCAACATGAAATTTCCCGAATATCTCTAACGATCTTCTCCATCCGGGATCAATGCAGAATGAGAAATCCGGCATGAATTTCCGTCAATGATCGAAGGCCCATTGTCTATCTGACCTCATGGATATTCCAGGACAGGTAGCTGCTGGAGCTATTTTTCCGGCTTGCTTCCCTTGGCTGAGCCAAGCCATGACAGAGACATGTCCACGGAGATTACCTTGTGAGCTCCGGTTGTGATTTCTGCTCGGACAGCTGGGACGGTTTTCAGATTGGGGCTCGGCTCCCAACCACCACGGAGCAAGCATCGGCTACTTCCGTCGCTTCCAAAGACAGAACAAGACTTACACTCGTTATCAAAGAAAGAGTCAACTTCTGTTCGTACAGTGTAGGAAAGAACCTGATCTTTTGCCCGGTCTAAGGTCTACACTTATCATGTAACCATTGTTTCGTGACAGCGCATGCAGGTTCCCAACATGCCCTGCCACCTCTGGTGGGAGTCGGAGGGTTTGATTCATTTCCTGTTCTAAGGGAAGAGGGAACAACCATTTCTCGGATCGCCGCAGGTCCCAGTAGGCCCAGCCAACAGGTTTTCTTCGAGGACCTCTTGTCACCTCTAACAACGTTTTCGTTCGATGCGTCACCAAGACCATTGTGATGAGTGGAATAATAAAGTACCGTTGAACTTTATCCATCATTGAAGCGAACTGAGCTCTCCGGTGCAGATTCATCTGTTCTTCTCTTTCTTGCCCATAGAATTAACAGAGTACTTCGAATAAGGTAAGGTTATCACAGCTCCCTCACCGGAAAGATTTCCCGTAGCGCGGGACGACTGGGCTGGGATGTTCAATGATGTAAACCCGTCGTTGCCGGAGACCCTTCCATTTGAACCCAACCTTGTTTTCTAGGGTCACGGTTGAGTGCAGCCATGGAGATCAGGTGTCAAGTCGAGAGTAAGCGCTACGAAGGGATCCGTTATCATACATTTACCGCGCTAATTTTCCGTAGTGAGCGTATAAACGGCAGAAGGCCTCCCTCAGTAGGTCAACCAACCAGTCTTTCTCTCACTATCCTCATAAAAGTCGCAGAACAATGATCTTCAAAACCTTTGTCGTTGTCGCACTCCTTGCGGTTGCCAACGCACGCCCTAACTGTCGCGCAGCTAGCTGCACCTTCCCCGCCCCGCTTTCAACCAGCAGTCTTTCCTCATCCAAGACCATCGAAGCTGGTGAATCTTTTGATGCACACCCACTGGTCCGTTCGCATGCCCCAGGACCCTACTGATATTTCATAGGGCGGAAACGTCAGGTTCGACCGAGGATCCGGTGCGTGCGAAGGACAAACCGAAGAAGGCGATGCTGCCGCTGTCTTCCTCCTTGAGGAGGGCACGACTCTGTCGAATGTCGTGATCGTATGTAACTACTTTCATTCTAGTCGTTGTTAATTTTTTTTCTGACGTATTCGTAGGGGAACAGATCAAGCAGAGGGTATTCACTGTCTCGGATCGTGCACGTTGACCAATGGTGAGTGACTGTATCATACTTTTCTTTGCGATCCTTTAACGTTGACTTCGCGACGGTGTGGTTCGGTAAGGAATAGTAGTGCTTATAAATTTAAAATGAACGCGTACTCATATCAACATTTTGCTGTGGTAGAGGATGTTTGTGAGGTACGTGAGAACCGTGTTCCTTCGTAGTCCATTTTGCTCACGAACAGGAGCAGGACGCGATCACCATTAAATGAGAGTCAGAAACCTCCACCATCACAGGAGGAGGTGCCAAAGGCGCTGACGACAAGGTCGTCCAGCACAATGGAGGTACGCTGCTAGCTAGATGAAAGGCACCAATAATGACGAGGGTATAATTAGGCGGCACCATTGCTATTGATAGCTTCTGTGTACGGGATTCTGTTATACATGTCTGCGACTTTGTCTTATTCATCACCATTACACTAGGTCGAAGACTTCGGTAAGCTTTACAGAAGCTGCGGTAATTGCGACGAGTAAGTAATTATTTTGCGTCTTCACATCGTTCAGTCCGCTCATCCTTAACGTGGTGTGAATTTGCCCAGCACTCAACCTTTTCCAATATTATCGCCTCTTCTGGAAGCACCTTGGCTGGAATCAACTTTAACGTAAGCTGATTCGATTCTTGTTCCCCCCATACTTTCAGCTAATGATCATTTTTAGTACGGAGACACTGCCATCTTCGACACGGAGTAAGACTTGATCTTTTTCTCCTCTTCCACGGGCTGATGGATTATTAGTACTATTGGAACGGACGACGTCGACAGTATTTGTGATACCTACGAAGGCAATGACACTGGTGATGAGCCAACGAAGTTGACTTCTAATACTTCTAATGACTACTGCCAGTTCTAGTCAGACCGCTTTGATACACATCGGTCGAACATCTTGTGCTCTTTGATCTAATTAAATGCCATCCCAGTGGCTTCAATGCGAATTCTAGTTCACCCCAAATGTTGCTGCAACAACGAACCCAAAATTACTCCCAACGATGCGGCATCTACTAATCATGTAGTCGGAAAACTAACCGATGCATGCGTAGAAGTCACAGCATGGTGATACACCGACTCAGCGAATCGACTTGGGTGTCTATACCTGCTATCGAGGCAATATTGAGTTCCCTGGGACGAAAGAAGTGTCATTCAACCTCCACCTCCTGTGTTCGTTCGCTACGTCATGACAGTGTTGAGAACATTACTCCCTTCTTTCAGTCGTGGGTTGACAGAAGTGTTTATATTTACGGCGCAGCGGCCGTTCATCGATGTAGGCCTAGATTCAAGGCCGAAGGAGAGGGGGCCCCTGTAGGTGGGAGCTCATCCACGACTGCTTTCCCTCGTTCGCTCTTTCATGCGTGGCTAATGTAATGGTCTACAGTCGAAGAATCAGAAGGACGAACCGACATGGCTCCTCCCAAATAGTTCAGCTCACCGGATTAGCGACACGTCGCAGGAGAAGCGTATGGCTGGTGATATTCGTCGAAAATCAATTGTTGTATTTGGTTCAAGCGTAACGGCGACTTTGTTTATTTCGAGCAAGAAGGACGTTATGCCTCTCGCGTCCCACTGGTGCAGTTGTCTACTTGAGCAGAACAGCGAGTTCTCTGTAAACCAATGATCTTGGGTACCTGCCAAGTCTCTAGTCCAGCGTATCGCACCTGTCGGATTTTTGCGTGCTTACGCGCAAAGCTGTCAGAAACAACGGCGACATATTGATGGAGCCATTGCTTTACCGAAATGGAGACTAGGGCAGTGATGAGACTGAGAGTCAAGCTGATGAACCACAAGCTGTTCGTCCACTCATCGGGATGGCTGGGAGAAGAAAAGGTAGTAGGGGAGGAAGGAATAGAATATTGGGAGCCGTTCGATGTGGTGACCTTAAGGATTTCAAAGATAAGAAGTATAGATGCCTGGTTGTAATTTGGTTGCATGTATTGTGACGTTTGTGCGACGAATGTTGTGAGTACTGCAGAAAAAAGACCCGCCTACAATATCGTTAGACCATTGGAAGTCCAATTTTTGAAAGAGACCCGTGACTCAGAAAGATAAGTAGGACATCAATGGCATCCCCCCACTCTGCCAACATATTGGTGTCAAACTCGGTGGCTTCGTCAAGGTAGATGGACCATATCCGTGCATTGTCGGACATCTCCTGGCCGTAAGGATCGGGAGGGCAGCGCGTCTTATAGTTGCGTGCCTAAAATATATAAATACTTCACAGCAGAAAAGTACAAGCAACCAAATACACTAAGTCTTCCAAAATGCAGCTGATTCCTTTTCAGTCCAAAAAACCTTCCGCTCGATCAGTGACCACGTCAACAGCACGGAATGCGCCTGCCGCTTATTTTGTTTTAGAGTTACCATAGATTCCAGAACCAACAGCTGACAAAAAGGGAGCAACGAGATAATATACCTCTCTTACTCAGCCCGATGGCGACATTAGTGTTTGTCAGCTAGTAATATCAGCATCATATATCTAAGGGGATTACGGATTCTTACTATTTGTACATTGATAAATGTCTTCAAAGCTCTTCCAGCCGACGAGCGTAGGCAACCTAAAGTTGAAGCACCGCGTGGTGTTAGCTCCCCTAACGCGTCTTAAGACAACCCCGTCCAACGTACCGCACACAGAAATCGTAAAGGAATACTACACCCAGCGTTCGCATGCACCAGGTACGCTCCTCATCAGCGAGGGAATCGTCATTGCTCCAAAAGCTGGCGGGCTCCCCCACTTCCCTGGTATATGGAGTCAGGAAATGATCACTGCATGGGAAAGGGCTCGTAGTACCCGGACTTTTAATTGCCAATACTTACTCACCCTACCAGGTAACTGACTCCATCCATGCAAAGGGCTCCTTCATCTTCTGCCAGCTCTTCGGCCAAGGTCGCAGCGCAGACCCCAAAGTCCTCGCAGCAGAGGACTCCTCCTTCCCCTACGTCTCCGCTTCTGCCATCCCCCTCTCCACCAGGCCCAGCGACGTGCCGCGTCCATTATCCGTCGACGAGATTCACGAATATACCCAGCTGTTTGTCCAGGCTTCTCTGAATGCTATCGAAGCAGGATTCGATGGCGTGGAGATCCACGGCGCGAATGGGTACCTCCTGGACCAGTTCACACAGGATGTCTCCAACCATCGGACGGATGAGTATGGAGGGAGCATTGAGAATAGGGCCAGGTTCCCATTGGAAGTTGTTGATGCGGTAGTCAAGGCTATCGGGGCAGAGAGAACAGGATATCGCGTCAGTCCGTGGAATAAGTTCCAAGGTGTGTGCTCAACTCTGTATTCTTGAATCCAGTCTGACCAGAAATAATGGTCTAGATATGACAATGACCGACCCAGTGCCGACATTCACCTACTTCGCTAACGAGATCAAGCGAAGGCATCCACACTTTGCGTATCTGCATGCCGTAGAGCCTCGTGTCGCCGGGACAGCTTTCCGGGATGAAGACGAGATCAAACCGCAAGAGGAGAATGACTTTCTTCGAAAGATATGGGCTCCGAAACCATTCATCTCTGCTGGGCATACCCGCGCATCGGGTATCGAAGCAGCAGATGAGAAAGGTGATTTGGTTGCCTTTGGAAGACAGTTCATCTCCAATGTAAGCTGCTGCCTCCACGTTTGTTTCCTGCTAAAACATAATTTGAGCAGCCTGATTTGGTTCACCGTTTAGAACAGGATTTACCTCTCAATCCGTATGATAGGGGAACCTTCTATATTCCTGGTGCGGTTGCGAAGGGGTATACAGATTATCCATTCTTAAATTAGAAAGTGTAGATACCAGGATGCAGATTAATTACATACCATGTGAATATTCCAATGCACAGACTTTAATGTTTTATTTAACATTTATAATTCGTTATGGAGTTAAGATCAGACAAGGAAACAATTACCACCTGCTAATATAAACGGATGACTCACAGCGAGACATACGGGGACAGAGACGGGACGCAGGCATTCGAGTTTAGCATGGACTTAGAGGAGAAAGCAGAGGTCTATGACCGAGAAATGGCTGCCCTCGCCATCCGAGCAATGAAAGCGATGAACTACATGAAAGAAGATGAAGAAGTAAAACACTTACACTTCTTTGCAGACAACACATCAGCATTTGATGCCATATTCGACCCCCTACCCAAAACTGGTCAAGCATTTCTCAATAGTTTTCCATCGATACACATGCCAATTTCTTGACAGCAACCTAGCACATACAATCAAAAGTTCATGGTGCCCAAGTCACAAGGACATTGCAGGAAATGAAGGAGCAGATTACTTGGCAAAGAAGGAAGAAGAAAAATACAATGGAAGTCATAGGCAGAACAAGAGCCAATGTTGAGAAGGGAAGCAGAGGCAAGGACACTGGAAGAGTGGAGGAAGGTGTGGGAGGCCAGCCCCAAATGTGGACACTACGCGATGGCAAACAGAATCCCACTGTCACTGAAGCCAACATGGCACCTCTTAGGTCTCGCAATGAAAAGGGAAATATTCAGCCAAGTTCTTCAGTGCAGAACAGGCCATGGATACACAGGTGAGTACTATTCATGATTTGTACCAAGCAAGGATGTTGACTGTCCTTGTGGTGAGACATTCCAGACACGGGAGCACATCCTATATGAATGCCTTCTCTATGAAGAGCAATGAGAGACTCTTCGAGATGTGTCAAGGACCATATACCTACCAGACATCCTTATTGAAGGAGATCCATACACAATATCATTTGTTTCTTGCTTACCTTTTTACTCTATCACATTCTGTGTTCTTACTTACCCATTTTGTCTACATCTCGATCACTTACTGATCACCCATAAAAAACCCTAGAATAGCTTTTCCGCACCTCAGTTGTTTCTGCTATCGCTGTGTTGACTGAGTGTGTGTATATCTTTACCTTTACCATTCTACACAGATGCTTACATAGCTCTTACAGTTTTTACAGATATCCTTTTCTTATTAGGTACAGTATTACTCAATATACCGAGGATATCTGTGCCTATCTCTTCTCACAGAACTCCCCAAAACCGCATTCCACCCTTTCCCAATTGCATCGTAAAAGTGCTTTACACAAGCCCGGGACGAGGCCTAATACACTTGCATTAGGCTCCATAACATGAATCTGACACCAAAATATGAGTTGTTTCTGCTATCACTGTGCCGACTGAGTTTCTTATGGATATCCTCCTCTCATCAATCCTCGGCACCAAGGAAGGAATCACAGCGCCGAGTGATTTCACGAAAAACACGGAAGCGTTCACCTGTCCGGTAGAACCACCCCGTTAATCAAATGCTGAAAGCAAAAAAACAAGGAGCAACTTTTTCGGACACGACCACGCGCATAGCCGGACCGGGTCCCACCGCTTTGTCCCCAGGCTCGAACAATGCGCGCTGAGCATCTAAAAGAACTAGTAATATATATACAGCGGTTAGGCTGGTACGATTTTCTGATTTTTTATTTGCTATAGATCAACTATAGATACCTATTTTTTGGAATATTTGTGGGCAGTAAGGGAAGAACTACCCAACAATGGATATAGCGTAAAGATAACAATTACAAACGGACCTTTTGTCAAATACAGTAGTCGTTGTTCTTTTTGTCCATGCATACATATTTAGGAGGGAAAAGCGCCAAAGTCAAAATACTCATCCGTATTGTGCAGCGGCGGGGTCGCGCCATCGTCAAAGTTCGAAGCACCTGGCCCCAACCCGAAGCCTCCGATAGGCCCGCCAGACGGATACCGGTAATAGCCTGCATCGAACAACGACAAGGTCACGCCATCGTCCAAGTTGCTAAAGTCCGACATGCCTAGCTCTGACCCGAGAGAGAAGTCACTGTCGACGTTGACCATAGGCATGCCATGTGGATACCAAGGAGTATTTGCGTTCGCCTCTGGTCTCATCTGAGGGCCGACTTGGATGGATTGAGGTGGCCGCATAGTCCCGTCAGCAAAGTCGTACTGGAGCAGTGATAAGTCAGTGTGAATCCCGTACAAGGAGAACAGTTCGACGAACCTGAGGTACGACCGGAGCAGGGTACGAGAGAGGTTGAGCACAAGCGAACACATCCGGGATGGGGAATGTGAGCGCAGGAGTAGCGATCTGGGGTGTCGCGACCTCTGGCTCGGGGGTCGTGCGAGTAGGCGGGCTATAAAGAATGAAGGTAGCCTCCTGAGCAATGGTCATGGCCTTTTCTTCGACACCCTTTTTGCCTTTCCCGCGTTTTTGCTTCTTCCTCCTCAACATAGGTTTGTACTCATAGCCGGGGTGCTGCGCCTTATGTCTTTCGGCCACTTCGAGGGACTTCTTTTTGTACGGCTCCTTTTCCTGAGACGACAACTTGTTCCATTGTACCGAGACGTGCTTGTTAAGATCATTCGACTTGCAGTTGGGGTACTTGTCTTTAAATTCTTTGCGTCGTTCGGAGAGATAGATCATGAATTGGTTGGCCGGACGGCGGATATGGTCAGGTTTCAACAGGTGAGAAGCGACATGTCGACGACGCGAAGGGGCTGAACTCGAAGCATCAGAGGGGGTGGATGGTATAGACGATGGGGCTTCAGACACCGGGTCGTCAGGGTGCACAGCACCGACGATGTTCAACATCGACAAGCCTTCATCTGTTAGGAACGGTTGGTGGGTGAGATACAGAAGACAAAGAGTCAATATTCGACTCACCGACCGCGTCGCACGCGACAGGTACCTGCTGGGACAATCGTTCGGAACGAATGGACGTAGTAGAACGAATGGGAGCCATAGAAGCACGTTGTTTGGGAAGAAGATGAGTGGAAGGGAGTTCACAAAGGAAACTAGATGCGTCTGCCTGAATGAAAGGAGGGAGAAACTCTGCACATTGGACCCAGCTTTTGTCGGAGGCATCGGATTACCTAACAAACAAAAAACGTGAGCCCCGCCGTTAATGGAACGTCGTGTACGCCTCGAGGCATCAAAAAGACCGAAAGGGAAACTCCCTGGCACATGAACAAAATTGAGCTGGATTGGGCAGCCTTTAGACCCATTTCTGTCTGTAACTCTGGTCCCCGAACGCCTTGACATCAGTCGATCGCCCATTATAAATGGGATTAGTAGATACTCCTGGAAGGCTCTTGGATGGCTGTTGAATGCAGTGCTTAGGATCGTCTAGCACTCTGAAATAGATGAGAGAGAGCTTACTAGGGCTTTCGAATACTTGGAACCGCGGGGGGGAACGCTTGGAAGATCCCTGCACATTGTCCGCTTAAACTGGCCATATTGCGTCGAAATAGATTTACATTGTTCTTATCTCCACCCCGATGAGTATTTGACGTGCCGTGTTATCATGCCGCCGGGCAGGGTCGATTTAGAGATTGAGTCCTCTGCAGTTGGCAAAGCCTATAGACAACAGTAAAATGGGATTAAATTCAATAATTTTACCATCCCATTAAACCATGGACGGCCCATTCGTAGACACCCAGGAAGACAGCACCACCAGCCGATATCCATAGCGTTCGCGGAACGGCTCCAGCAAAGAGAGCCTTCGGGCCCTCGGTCCTATAAATTGTCTTCATTCTAGCCATAAGCGAAGGCAGCCGCTCTTCCGAGTTCTATGCATTGTTCGGAGGGAAAAGATGTACACAGGTAGCAAGTGCTTACCCGTAGATCGAGCATAACCCGAGTTTTCAGCACGTCCAGCGGTGTTGTCAAGGCTGCAGCGACACCACCAGCAATACTCCCGCATACGGCAGCTTCATGCGCATACAACGGTTTTCGTTTGACAAATTTAGACAGCCGGAGCTTCAACAATTCGTACAAGGGGAACTGGATGGACGTGAACGGTATCTAGGATGATATATCAGCACCTAACCAAAAAAAAGGTAATAGAACGCTTACCTCTCTCATAACTGTAATACCAAACCCACGATAAAAGCCCCGAAGGCTGTCATCTGCCAGAATGCGCTTAGCCGCATCCCACGACTGCGCGGCACCGTAGCTTCCCGTCTGCGTACGCGTCTTGATGACTTCTGTAGGTACACGAATCAAGCAGGCTGCCTGTAAACATGAGTCATAGGAATCATATCAGAAGAATGCAGAGGGCCGCATACCACTTCGCCAACAGATGCCGACACTATGTGCGCAAGGGGTCCCTGGAAGGGAAGAACCTGTTTCATCGTGTCGTATGTCGAGAAAAAAGCCGCCGCTTATCCACGTGTAAGCAAATATCGTGGAATATGGACATCGTGGTGTTCACCTCCTGGTGCGCTGCCTACCACGACACTACCGATGCCCTTGTACACTCCTATGAACCCTCCAGCTCGTGCGAATCCCTGGGCAGATTGCAGGCGCGTTTTCAGTGTGTCGATTGGAAAAAATAGAAGATCCACAGAGGTCCCTGCGAGTCCGCCTGCCTTGAAACGGTAAATGGTCATCCCTGAAAAAAAAAGGGGGCGAAGAGACATACGATGAGAGACTGGAGGAAGGTAGGCGCGTGGTCGCCGACCATGGTGGTTGAGAAGAAAAAGGGATACCGGATCTTTCGGACATACCGGATCTTTCCAACCTGCTGCATCGGATCCGAAAAAAGATTAACCAAAAACATTTATTTAAATAATTTACCTATAATCAAGAGAAACTCTGGCTTCTGGTATACAACAGTTTTAGTATACATTTTTTTTTTGGTGGGGGCTATAGCAGAGGCCATTTAGCGACACAGTCGCCTCCGGCATGCAGCCAAAGGGGTCTCCAAGAATTTAAACCCAGGGAACGGAATGCATTTTACGCACGAACGGCACCTCTGCCGAACAGTGTGGGACTCAACATTTGTAATACCCACTAAACCTCCCATTGGTTTGACTGGGGATCGAACTTGCGTGGTGACGCAACCCAGGACCGAACATCCCTATATTGCAGTCACATATGTCGAAGGCCATAACGGAAGATCTAGTTGTCAGGTATCGACTGATGGATTTGGTCCAAGCTTCAGTATCACCCTCGGTAGTTTCTTCGTCAGCTCGACCCCATAAGATGAATCGCCCTCACTGTCTGCCACTGGTAGTGATGCCCTGCCTTTCCTTACAGGAGATTTCTCCTTCATCGCTGGAGAAACACCGCCCTTCGGTGAAACACTACCTCCCGCTTTCTTTCGCTCCCTCAAGGTCATTGCCATGGGAGGTGTCACTCCTGACACTTTCACCATCCCGCTCTCCAGCGATGTAAACACTTCCGCAGCTTTATCTACCCATGGCTCGACGGGACCTGGCGCTCCTCGCCGTTTCTTAGCGACCTTTTCCAGCTAAGGGAGAAACCCAGAAATTAACAGCCACAAAACAAGTACAAATGACTAACCAGGATGAGATTGTCCAGACCCCACCAATCTTCTTGGACCGTTCCTGGTGGTAAATCAGCCAGGCCCATAAGATGAGCGAACGTCGCGCTCGTCAACGCTCGGCCACTATATCCGCCCTCCAAGACACTGATAATACGCCCACCCGCATATCGCTCGCTCAGACTACACGCGTCTTGCGCGAACCGGTGGTAGAACGACGTGGGGACTTTACGGTTATGTCGGGACATGGACTCATACTCGTGTTCGCACGCATCCATACCACAGCTACAGAACGTCCAATCAATTCGCTGAGAAGGAAAGGGCAAAGGAGAAGTTACCTGATAAAGAACAAAACGTCGTTTCCGGGTCCGCCTGTTTCATCTAGAAACTGTTCTGCCTTCTGCAGAATCCCAGCGTACCGCTGGGGGTACAGCACATCAAAGAAATGCTCTCGGGATTCGTAGGTCTGGAGATGGATGTTCTCGATGTACTGTCCATGGGCTCCATGTATAGAAACAGACGCAGCCTGGACGAGTTGCGGCTTGCCGTCCTGAATTTACATGTACATTAGCATTCATCCATATGTTAGCCAGCGAAAGGGATACCTCGCAAGGATAGGATAGAATATCGTGTATAGAGCCGTAGTAAATTCGAGGGCCTGGTTTGATATCGGGAGCACCGCCTTCAGACTCGAGGGTTTTACGATAGGATTCCTCGTTGATTTGCCAAACAATGGATTGGGTACCGTTGCCTAAACAAGGCTTAGAACGAGCCTGGACTTGACAAACGCTGCTCACCGTGGTGCAGATCAATATCGAATATCACAACCCTGTTGATCCCGTGCTGAAGATGGGCTGCAGGAAATAAATGCCTGTCTTTCTTCTCAGACGAGGAAACATACCATGGGCAGCTGCAATAGCCACATTGTTCACGAAACAAAAGCCTTCCGGGGTATCTTCACCACAATGGTGGCCAGGTGGCCGGATGGCAACAAACGCGCGAGTGACGCCGCTGCGCTCATCTTTCTTCTTGGACGAGGCAACAACCATGTCGACGGCCTCGCATACGGTTCCTATAGCTCCCTGGATTGCAACAATAGATTCAGGGCATACTTCATACAGTATTAGTAGCATGCCACCACCAATACGGAAGGAAGACGCACAGTAGAGGTCACCCTGAGAATATCCTTCAGGTATCTCGCTCTCTCCTTTTGCAATCTTGTCCCGACTCTCATCAGCCCATGACTTTATCTTCGGTATGTAAACGTCCCCGTCCAAATCTCCGTGAATAAATTTGACTGCAGGATGTTGCAGAATATCAACAGACGCTGTACTTCGAACGATCTCCATCTTATCTGTTCCCGCTTCTTTGGCGATGTCCAAGCGGCTGAGTGCTGCTGCGAGATCATCTGGATCTCCGTCGGCGTCAACATCTGAAGGTATCCGCGAAACGGCAGCGGCCACACCCAACTTAACGGCACGTAGCCGTTCGGGGCGTTCAACAATTAGAGAGGTATCTTTGGACCGGATATACTGGTGCTGATAGCAGGCATCCTGGATGAATACACCAGCTTTTGCGGGAACCATAAATCGTCGTTGAGGTCGTGCAAAATTCGTGAGCAAATACCAAACAGAGTGCGTTAGTGGTGTCGAAAACGAAACGAAACGAACTCAGAACTATTTAGGCAGTCTGTATCACGTGTCATATTTAGGGCAAGCTACGTCGCGTCGAAGCGCGTCGCGCCCACTGGGAATAACACAGCAATCCCCTCAGGTCCCTCTTTAGAGCAAGTTCAGCAGAATAAATGGCGAGATCGCAGAGCCGACATATTAATGGCAGTAGTTATCGATGAAAATTCTCTTTCATTGGTGACAGTTCACTCCACTCCCCTCGGTGGATCCTTCATGGCATACAGAAAGGGACCGACGAGCCATCATTATACCATCATCACCATATTACATACGTCCGAGATCCCAAATACGTCCGTCCCCGTACCGTTGAGGATCCCACCAGTCCAGCTAAACTGGAATCTGTTCAGAGGTTGTGAGATACATTGAAAGATCTGTTGCCTTCTTTACAGGCGCATCAGAAAAGGGTTTCAACCAATCAGATGGGGAAAAATTGCAAAACTTGATCAGTGAATTCCATTCAGTTATGCCTCATATATGAAGGGAAATGCAATGGCATCACATAGTCTCTACAAAAGATGCCAATCGGCGTTCAAACAAGACGGTCATCGACCACGGATCTCCCAAAATGATAGGCACGTAAAACCTTTGTTGTCAAGTCACCACCAAAGAAGCCTCATAGAGCGCGTCCCTCTCTGTTAACAACCCAAGCCGAGTTTCTGAGTTAATGGCCTCGCATGAACTGTCCTACGATGAAAGGGTGAGAGGTCTTGAGTCGCTGTAGTTGCTATACAGATCGAAATTGTATATCCCTGGAAAATTTGATTAGAAGATGCGACAAAAGACTGGTACCACGACACCTACAAATCAGAGTATTCCCCACGGTGAACGAGTTCTTTGCAACGGGGTTGTGGGAAGCTGACGGGACTCCATCTGGATGATGTGGATGCAGCTATAGAAGAAGCACAGGAAACAGGCAAAGGTGAGGATGACATCAGAGGCCTGTAGGGAAGGGAAATCCATGTCTCTGGGTGAGCACCTGAGTCATTAAGATGATGAATGATGTAGGAACAATGTCAAGCCCTATATGTGGGCATCCACTGTCTATGAAGCCCAGTCAACATCTCCTAGGAAGGGAGGGCTAAAATGGAAGGCCTTTAAACCTTGGTAAGCAACATTCAGATTGAGTCATGGCTGGATACAAATGCACTCCAAATAAGAAACCTGTCTGTGGCAACTATCTGTCCCAGAGTACACCTGTGAATGGCACAAAGACTACAAGATCCCAAATCCCGATGCAAGCATATGATCAAAAGACAATTCAACACTGATTCGATGCCGACTATCATGCTCATTTTCATGTGAAGAAAGCAACCACGTAGAAAGATCAGAGGGCATAGGTGAGTACGTTTCGAAAGAAGGGCTAGATCATAAGGCCCAGGATTCTACCACATTGTGCATGATGATCAGGAGCAGATGAGTCATAAAGATGATGCTGAGATCATGACCAACCTAAGGCTTCCAACACGTGAAACATCATTTGCCATCAGCTTGACAAACACCTTCTTAGGAGATGTCCCCAAGTATGGCTGACCTCCTTACATCCCCAGTAAGCAAGGGTGAGAGGAAGAAACAGGCCATTGTTTGAATACCTACACACCTCATAGAAAACATTTCCATGGCAGCCCTCGAAGGAAGACTTCATGCTTGCAGACAGATGACACGAGACTGCATGATTTCCAATCCCAAGCATATGGATCTATAAGTGGGGTATTCTCCTTGCAACATATGGTTTTCTCTCCAGATACCTCTCCTATGACCAGGGAGTCACCCAAATCGCTATCCTTGTGCCCTATGATATTCAAACACCCATTATTCCAATCCTCCATGAGAAAACACAGAGAAAGAAGGTGGTTATTCATGGAAGCACCAGTCAGACGTATTACTACATGTGACATGAGACCTTGCTGTGCTTTGAGGGCATGCATGTGAATGATAAAGAATTCTTGTAGGCAGAGTCTTGGTATGATCTGTTGAAGAAGGCATTGGAAGAAATGGAAATTATGCCTATAAATCAGTTGCATGACTTGAGGATAGAGTATGTCAGACTGAAGGATGCATTGGAAGCCAGAGGGATAGAGTGGAGCAGGGTGGAGCACTAGATGGACTTATGCTGATTCATGAGACTCACATTGTTTAGCGATAAATGCTATCTGTATCCATCAAAATATAGTGCACAGTTTCAGTTGAACTACAGCCTGGAAACATTAGTTACAACATCATCTAAGTAGTAGACAAAGGCATGGTCAGCAGAACAGAAACAGATGTAAGGACAATGAAGAAAGACCTCAGCCTATCTATAGTCTTGTCCAACTCCATGCAATGATGAATTGTTCCTCCATCTCCGCTAACATAGGTGTGCTCCCACCCTCACTGTGATGATTTCTTGATGATCAAATACCAATATATTCCCCACAAAATATAGTAGAGGATAAAGATCATGACCTCTTCCTCATGCAGAGCCCTAGCTATTAGAATCCAAGCTCTATAGAAAGATGTTCTCAGTCTTTGGAGTAAATTGTAGAAGGACTGTATTTACACCTGTAGAAAGATGTTGTACAGATAATATAAGTATAATAGATATGGTGCAAGATGGAGAGAATTGCATACCTCAGTCTTCAGAGTAAGTTGTAGAAGGACTGAGGTAGCTGGGTAGAGAGTATGCTACTTATATACTGTAGCAAACTGGGTGGCATTATTACATTGTTATCTAGAATGAGCACAATGAAATAGAAACAATAGCAAAATTCCAACAATACAGTTCTCAGTGGCACACTTATATTATATGTGCACCAACACTTCTCCTCACTGAGAACTCCTCCTGACCCCCTTATCTATGAGAGGCTCATAAATCCTTGTAGGTGGATGAATTGAACAGGCTGCAGTGCTTTAGTAAAGCAATCCACAATGTTGTTCTTGGTGTTAACATAGTCCAGTAAGATCTCCTTGTTTTTGATGCATTCCTAGATGGAGTGGTACTTTATGTCTATATGCTTGACTCATGCATGCAATGACAGATCTTTGGATAGGTTGATAGCACTGTTGTTATTGCAGTTGATTGTGGTGGTGTCACATTGTTTGAAGCCAAGTCCTGAAAGTAGCATCCAGATTCATACAGCTTCTTTCATTGCCTTGCATGCTGCCACATATTTGGATTTGCAGAATGATACAGTGACTGTTGGCTGATGTTTTGCTGTCTAAGATATAAGTCCAGATCCCAATGTGAAACAATATCCACTGATACTGCATCAAGTATCAAGACAATTGGCCCAGTCTGAGTCAGTGAAGCCAGTGAGTCTGACATTGGAATGTCTGCCTAGGTACAGGCTTAGGTTTCTGGTGCCTTTGAGATACCAGACTACATGAATGGCAGCATTCTAGTGGATAAATGAGAAGGTATCCAGAAAATGAAATAGTTGTTGGATGGCATAAGCAATATCAGGACAGGTTCCAATTGCAAGATAGATAAGAGAGCCTATGAGTGACTGGTAGGGCAGTTTCTGCAAGGCAGTTTGATTCTTGTTGGAAAGGTGAGATAGATCAAGTAAATGAAGCTTCAATCCTGAGTTCATAGGTGTCACTATTGGGTGGACATCTTTCTGACCATACTGAGAAGTGATTCTGTTGATAAGAGCAGTTTGAGACAGTGCAATGCTTCTATTTGAACAGTCCCTGGAGATAGCAATCTCTACACAGAATTTAGCTTCACCTGAATCAGAGATAGTCTATTTCTGTTGCATTTGGGCCTTAAACTGTTCATTCTCCTCCTTCAAGCTGGCTATAGAGAGAACATCATCAACATAGACAGCAGCTATCACTATGCCAGTCACAGTCTTCCTGTAGTAAATACAGTACTCACTGCTAAGATACATGAAACCTCAGGATATCATTGCTTCATTCATAGTGTGGTTTCAGATGTGGCTGCTCTACTTCATGCTATACAGTCTATGCTGGAGCTTCCAAACTCAGTCTTTTTTACTGGATTCTTCAAAGTCTTTTGGCTGTTCCATGTACTGAGTTTTATCTTTAGGCAAAAGTCTATAAAGAAAAGTGGTTTTAACATTAATTTGCTGAGCATCCCAGTCAAGAGCAGCAGCCAGGTGCAATAGGATATGCCAAGATTCTATGTGAGTGGTGAGGGATGTGGTCTTTGTGTAGTCTCTGTCATAGATCTGTTCAAGACCTTTGAAGATGACATATACCTTCTAGTGAACTGCAGAGCCAGTCTCATCTCATTTAACTTTGAATATAGACCTACTCTTTTAAATTTTTTGACCAGAGAAACAGATGAACATGGAATGAGTATATAGACACCCATTTCTTTTAGGGACTTTAACTCATCTTAGTAACCTGTAAGCCAATGATCAGCATCTGTAGAAGCATGTGCTTCTTCCCACATAGTAGATTTGTCACCTATTTGTAAGGCAGCATAGACTTCATTTCTGACAGCTGTGAAGGCTTTGTCAAGATAGTCCAGAAATTGCTTGTTAAGCAGACTTTCTGCAGGCAGAAAACACAAAACCTATTCAGTAAGTGAAACCAAAGCACAGAATATGAAGGCTGGTCTAAGCAAGTCTAGTTGTGTATCTCTGTACAGTGACTAATCTCCAAAGGAATGTAGCAAGGGGTAGCTACAGGAGTATAAGGCTCTGAATTGTTTACAGTGACTCATAGTATATATATAAACTTGCTTATAACAGTAATATTATACAGTTGACTATCTCACAATGCATATAGTCAGGAGACACCAAAACTGTATGCATTTATAGATTTATGCAGAACCAAAATAGCATGTGATGTGACATGTGACTTTATGTGACAATGTTGTCATTGCCCCAAAATGCTGTCAGTGGCTTTTGGGTCAGCTTTCCATGCATCTCCTTGAATAATGCCCCTCTCAACTTCCTCAGCTGTGGTACTAATCCACCCTAGTCACCTTATGAAACACAAAATACCTCCA